AAAAGAGTACTGGTAATTTTATGTTGGTAACAGAGTACTGGCAATTTTGTGTTGATAAAAGAGTACAGGCAATTTAATGTTGGTAAAAGAGTACTGGCAATTTTTTGTTGGTAAAAGAGTACTGGCAATTTGGGTTGATAAAAGAGTACTGTCAATTTTATGTTGGTAAAAGATTACTGGCAATTTTGTGTTGGTAAAAGAGTACTGGCAATTTTATGTTGGTAAAAGAGTACTGGCAATTTTGTGTTGATTTAGAATTCGGAATTTTATCACAAATTATTTGATGCTTTTATAAGTTTGTCTTTCATGCTGTATATGCTTGGTTATTTCTATTATCCTTTATTAAGTTTAATGGCTGTTTTTTGTTGATCTAATTGTTCTGATTTTGAATTTACTCACCAAAAACAGATTACCCATGTTGTAAACATTATTATTTCAATTGTAATTTTGAACATGTGTAACTGTTAGATGACAAGACAGGTCGTAATAATCATTCCATTTGCTTAGAGTTAATTATCTTTTTAAATTTTTCTTGACATTTCTTCAAAAGATGGAGCCGCTGTTTTTTTAAACAATAACAGCAGATATTCAGAATATACAATTGAATTCCTTTGATTATGTTTTTCTTGTTAAGCATTTTTTCAAAAAGGAAACAACAGTTTATAAATGTGGTGCATCCGAAGCGCTTTTCTGGATTAACCTTCACATTCAAGCACTTGTGTATATAACATGTTATAAATATAAGACGCAGTATGTAAACTTTATAATGATTGTTTTAGACTATATCGTGACGGAAAACTATATTTTATACGTATTTCAAAGTTTTAATTTATTTTCAAAATATGATTTTCCCGGTTTACCGCCGTAATAGAGTCTTTATCCGGAGATATACGTCTCAGTAAATTATAACTGTTATTTGTGTTTCAAGTAATTATACGAGATCATTTTGTTGAGACTACAAGTTATTTTGTCATCAGTATGGTAATTGGTATTTGAATTTATCCGACTTTGTTATGCCAATCATTAACCAAGTTGCCATGATTGGGTAGCTAACTTGTTTATCGTGTATAACGGACTACATTCTCATAAGGATTTAATTTGATCAATTTTAGTCAGTTTGTCTTACTTAAACCAATCATGTTAGTATCAACTGGACAAATTGTATTGTATTAATATGTTAATAGTTTCTCGTCCTAAATATGTATGAAATAATCACCACTGGACGTTAATAATCTACTTGAAAAAAATCGTGTTTAAATATAGATACATATAGATTGTTTTCTAAAGGAAGTGCTATACTGCCTGAACTAATTCATATATAGTGCTGATTGTTATTAACTAAGTCTATTCAAGACCTATGGTATATATAGTGCTGATTGTTATGTTACTTCCTGTTGTCTTCTATTGTTGTATCATTCAAAAGGTCATACACTTGCTTCTATAAATCATATATAATAATTCAGATTTGGAGTCAGAAACATAATTGAGGGAAGCTTTTACTCGAGTTCACTACTTAAATGAACTTACAGAAAACATGTTTGACATTTGTTATCTTTTGTGATAACACGAATGTCTTTGGAGACAAGCATTGTAATTAGTTGTCAGCAGTGAATAGATATGTTTCATTGTAGCCCGTGTAGAAGTTTCTTATTGAAGGCACAATTTAAATCACGAACAACAAATAACAGATGTTTTTTTTTTTTTATTTAATTCATGCATTGATTAAATACCACTTTAATAAAACCAAAAAGGAAATTCATCATTACAATTTCTGTTGTTTATATTTCAACTTTTACAAGAATATCAAAAACTACTTTGCTTGTCATATAATCTGTCCATTCCATTATAAGGACAAAATTCTTTTCAAAGCGTTAGCCTAAAAGATGTCATTTCGAAATTATAAAATTCCGCTGTTCAACTTCAACGGATATACATGTATGTAAAGTGTATGTCTCATTGAGATCGTTGTTCCTACTTACAAGACTTTTGTAAGAGCTTTTCTTTCATGCCGGATTCATCGCACGGACATTTCACAGATACACGTTCCTTGGTCAATGAAAACAAATGTGACGGATAATGAATATGCATATATTATGATATCATAAATTGAAATTGAAATGGCATGATCAGCATTCCCCATAAAGTTATATTGTTTACGTCATTTACTGGTAGTATATATAGATAAAAGGCTCACTTTTTGGCACGCTTTGCATTTATTACGCTAGCATCACGAAATTCTGACAATTTCTATCACTTTTTTCCTTTTCAATCATAATCGTCAAAAATCGCAATGGTATGATTGATTGTTACGAACAGCACATGAAAAAAAGTCATTTTAAATGTTTACAAAAAGAAACAAATCTCAAAACCGTACTATGCACTCAACACTAACAACATTAACATGCACCCAGTATGCTGGTTTTGATTGATATCACCTTAATTATAGCAAAACTTTTATAATAAGACAATTAGGACATTACTGTACCAAATTTAAGATTCAAACTCTTAGTCTTTACAAGAAATCAAAGGATTCGTGACTTCCTTAATGTCGTTTACTTGTTGATTTTATCAACAATTAAAACTGTTAAATTATCTCTTAATAATGAAAGTTGTGGATTTGATTGTTTATTTCGTCCGATATAGTTATCTATTTCTGTAAATTTTGCAGCAGTAAATAGAACAGCTTTGATTTTTAAATAATGTAAATGTCAGAATTTATTAAATATTCTGTGTATTGTATTGTGCATGTAATGTTTTGTTTTAATGGCTGTATACTGTGTGTCGTATCCTAAGATGCATTATATTTTTTTATATCAAACTCATGCTTATTCTGTTACTTCCAATATTCATATGACTTAATTATAAAGTCAATCAGTTCAAAACTATTATAGTTTTCTGTTTTATTCGGTTAGTTAAATTTGCAGTAGAAAAAAAATGTAAATTGAACGATTTCCCCCTAGAAGCTTTTCAGTATGACGCATTGTTCTCTGCATGTATCAGTACAATTACAGCTACCTTTACATATGTTTATGTTTATGTTTATATACTGTTAAAAGGGAGGAAAGAATTTACACAAATTAAAAAAAAAATCATGTAAACAAGCTCGATTATTATAATGCTGGAAATATCCTTAGATTTTGACACAAAAAGAAGCAATATGGTAACCATAAGTATATTATATATCTTTTCGCGGACAGATGACATGATGACTGCAGTTTGATTTAATAAAAATTTTAGTGAGCAAATAAGACGATTACTATAAATGGTAGGTGTATCAACTGCACAGATTTATAGCTTTTTTTTAAAAATATATACCAAATTTCTGCTATTGAAAGAAAAAAAGTCCCCTTATAATATATTTTCATTGGAAAAGACAGGCAATGTAGTGTTCATCAAAAGACACGTATGTGTGTACCATATGTCAAACCATAAATCGTCCAGAGTCTACAAAAGTGAATAAATTAAACAAACAGAAACAACCAGAGCCACAATCAACATACCCCCTCCCCCAAAAATCAACAACAACAAAAAAATATTAGAATATGATATAAGGCAACCACTTAGACGGTTATTGACTTGGGACAGGCACATGTATGTCTGGTTGGGTTAGACTATTTTTTTAAAGATCTCAACCCTCCTCCTGTTTAATCTCAATCCATAAATAAACAAACCATACATCAAAGTATAAAAAATACTAATATATTTAGATGTCATCTAAGTAAAACAAAATACAGAATATTTTGGTACAGATGTATTGGGTTAGTACATCATGTTGTTATTCCAAGTTATCCTCTGTAATCTCATTAGCCTTTATCAAGTTTTTTAATCGTCTAAAATAGGAATAGTACGTGTAAATACTACAAACGTTGTTTATACTTCCATTTGGTCGATACCTTTATGTATTCAAGTCAATGCTCATTAAAACAAAGGTTTCCAATTAAAGCCAACCTTAGTCAAATTCGATCCTTTTTAATTTATATGCTTCCGTTGGAGTTACTTTTACAAAAATTACAAGTTCAATTATACGATAAACAACAATGTAAGGTACGGCTTCCGACAGAAAAAAAAACATCCAGGAAAGAATGATTTTACAAGTTCAGTTTTACCGTAACGTTGTATCCTTTATCTGTAAGTTTCCATGACTATCTTATTGTATGTTGAAACAAAAATACAAAGTAGATATTTAAGTAAAACAAATGAGAAAATGGATACATGATTAAGGGACGGAAGTCTGTCAATATCAGCATAAATAATACTTCGTGACATTATTGGTGTTTTCAATATGGAAACATAAAAAATGAAAACAACACCTTATAACTTTTATGCATCCGAAGCGCTTTTCTGGATTTACCCACCTTCACCAGGAAAGATCAAAGCCAAATAATATGAAATTCTAAACTGTGTTTTATTTTGATTCAATGTCACATTATTTTCTCCATTAGTTTATATATTTGAAACATTTCCGTTTTTGAAAATTTATATTTATTTTTTTTATATATATGATAGGAATAATGAAATAAAAATCTACCTATAAAATTTGTTGTCATTTGTTTTTGAACCATTCGATGGTTATCATGGTTTTAAAGAAACATGACATATGGACAATTTATAATTTCACTTGATAACTACCGGAAGTTGTTGCTCAACGGAAATTGTTAATGTAAGTGCGCAGGTCTATATGAGAATCAGGTTATTATTTTTTTTAAACCAACATGATATCCTAGCAACCAATAATATTTAGCATGTTTAGTAATCAAACTTCTTGTAGTTGAGTTATTAAACCAAGCCTAGTCAATTGCAAATTTGAATTTACCTTATAAAAAGTTTAATGTTATTATGATTTGGTCAAACGTTATGGAACATTTTCTACTTGTCTTTGCCACACTCTTGTTTATTACCTCATTGCAAGAGATTTAATCCCCGCATCTTTTATTGTCATCATCAACATTATCACTACTGTTTTGTCATTGTCAGGAATAAAATACATTTGTTTTTTGCAGGAACAGCAGATAATCCCCACCAACCAAGGAATGGCGATGCTGCAAGATCACTACTGGTTGTCACCCTTAGTCCACCCAGTAATCCACAATACTATAAATTCCGTCAGGCTGTTAATGATTACAACGAAAAACCTCCATTCGAATTTCCAAACCCTTTTATGAAACCTAAAAAGGTATTTATGCTTTTTATATGAAAAATTAGCTTTTATTATTGAGTACTGACTGGCATTGACTCAAAAACCAATTGCTTGATGCTATCTTAGTATGATACTGTATATCGGGTTATTTTCGCAGTTTGGGTCTTAAAAGGGATATTCAAATCGCGTGTCACTGTTTGTGTTGTACATGTAGTATGAAAGTCTTTCGCCATCTTGGATCGCAAATGATCAGTTTAGATTTTTTATGGAAAAAGCAAGTTTTGATGATGGAACGAATTCATTTGTGAGACTTTTCATTTAACTGAGATAGCTTTATTTTGTGAATACATGTACAGTATTTTGTTATATAGCAAGCAAAAGCTAATGGCAATCCCATTTTTTCATTAATTTTGTATTCATCAATAAGTTTTATAAAATCTATCTTCTCATTTTAAAATTCTGTCATTTAGTTTCTGCCTAATCACATCATAATGCGTTTCCTCATTACAATCCTTACATAATGTGTCAATATTTTACGGTTAGGGTGAGGCAGCTCGGTGACCTATACTTTTTAATATATTTTCTCTATAGTACCCTAGCTGGACAGTGACACTGCGTAGAGTATATTGCGCGAAAAATGACTACCGTGAACATAGCGAAAATTTCCCGATTGATGGCAGTTGTGTTGAGTCTTAAATTATACATTTTCATTGATAAAAATGTACAGCTCAAATAAGAGGCAAAAGTAGTATGCCAATGTTCAAAACTCGTAAATCTATTTTTGATGTACGAATAAAGATCAAGAAAAACATGAGGGAATTGCATGAATCACAATAGGAGCGAGACCTCGTGGTCGACAGACTAAGCGACTCCTTCTATGCATTCATTATTCCTCATGAGAATCAAAATATCACAATAGGGAATAGAACACAGTCGGTAAGATGCAAATCAGACGACCTTTCTGTCGGTAAGATGCACACCAGACGACTTTTCTGTCGGTAAGATGCACACCAGACGACATAACTGGCATTCTAAGATCTAAGACAGAACAAGTTGTCTAAATAAGAGTTCAAATGCATTTGTATCAGAAGCTATGAACAAACAAATATTTTGAGTTAAAACAGTCGCAATTGCGCTATCGCCAAATACTTTGTACATTGTTTTGTTAAATTACTGTAACAGAAAAAAAAGGGGTAGTTAAGCTCTGACATATATGTTTAACCCCCTCTGTGTCAAGCCAAGAGTTTGTAATCCACTTGTGATTGTGGTTGGTTGATTCTGCCATATTTGTTTCCTTTTATTGGTCTATAAATCATACCGTTTGCATTCTCTTTTGAATTGTTTCACAATTTGTGATCCCGGGGCCTTAAATAACTACTGTATGGAAAGAGAGTTTTTTATTGTTTAAGCCGTGCGGTGACCTGTAGTTGTTAGCATTTTTGTAGTTGTTTTTGGTAGTCGTTTGATAGTTTCTCACTGGCAATCGCATTAAAATATTATAATAACATTTTCAAAGTATTTCAAAGTATTGTTCTGCAAAACAAAGTCACCCCTCTTTCATGTTGTGTTTCATCATAGCTTAATAAAAAATGTTTTAAATATGAAATTGCTAAAATGAAAATAACATTGAGGGAGAAAAAATTATAAAAATGTCCTCACTTTTAAATAAGAACCATTGTGGATGTTCAAACAATGCATGTTCAGGTCATTACAACTGGTTTACATAGTAGTTTTTCGTTTTTATCTATTTACAGATAACAGTATACGCTGCTTATTTATATGACGCTGTAATGTTGTGGGCAAAAGCAGCTGATAATATGACACGTTCAGGAGGATCAATTAAGGATGGCAGAGCTATCATTGAAACAATGCTAGGAATTAGTTATCAAAGTATGTATTACTAAAGTCTATTAATTATTTTGAATAAGATGCAAAAGGAGATATCACGGGGCCTACAAACCAAACAAAGACAGACATAACCATTGCCAATACCACGGGGCCTACAAATCACACAAAAACAGACATAACCATTGCCAATATCACGGGGCCTACAAACCACACAAAAACAGACATAACCATTGCCAATATCACGGGGCCTTCAAACCACACAAAAACAGACATAACCATTGCCAATATCACGGGGCCTACAAACCACACAAAAACAGACATAACCATTGCCAATATCACGGGCCTACAAACCACACAAAAACAGACATAACCATTGCCAATATCACGGGGCCTACAAACCATACAAAGACAGACATAACCATTGCCAATATCACGGGCCTACAAACCACACAAAGACAGACATAACCATTGCCAATATCACGAGGCCTACAAACCACACAAAGACAGACATAACCATTGTCAATATCACAGGGCCTACAAACCACATAAAGACAGACATAACCATTGCCAATATCACGGGGCCTACAAACCACACAAAGACAGACATAACCATTGCCAATATCACGGGCCTACAAACCACACAAAGACAGACATAACCATTGCCAATATCACGAGGCCTACAAACCACACAAAGACAGACATAACCATTGTCAATATCACAGGGCCTACAAACCACATAAAGACAGACATAACGATTGCCAATATCACGGGGCCTACAAACCACACAAAAACAGACATAACCATTGATAATATCATGGGGCCTACAGACCACACAAAGACAGACATAACCATTGTCAATATCACAGGGCCTACAAACCACACAAAGACAGACATAACCATTGACAAAAGCACGGGCCTACAAACTACACAAAGACAGACATAACCATTGCCAATATCACAGGGCCTACAAACAACACAAAGACAGACATAACCATTGCCCATATCACGGGGCCTACAAACCACACAAAGACAGACATAACCATTGCCAATATTACGGGGCCTACAAACCACACAAAGACAGACATAACCATTGCGAATATCACGGGCCTACAAACCAAAACAAAGACAGACATAACCATTGCCAATATCACGGGGCCTACAAACCACACAAAGACAGACATAACCATTGCCAATATTACGGGGCCTACAAACCACACAGTGACAGACATAACCATTGACAAAAGGAAAACAAGACAAAAAAAAAAAAACAACGTTACAAAGAAAATTTACCAGCTTGAACCCAACATAAACCGGGACTGGTATACAAATATATAAAGCCTTGGAGATTGGTAAATACTGCATATTGCTATTGCGTGTCTCATGAAATAGATTTGATAACTACCGTCATTGAGGCATATTGCGATTATAAGCTTGACGTTTTTTTAAAGAGTGAATAAATCTGAAGGTAAAATATCAACGTTAGTATAGCTTCGATCCAGGTTCAATCCACCATTTTCTACATTAGAAAATGCCTGTTCCAAGTCATGGAATATGACAGTTGTTGTCCATTCGTTTGATGTGTTTGAGCTTTTGATTTTGCCATTTGATTAGGGCCATTCCGTTTGAATTTTCCTCGGAGTTCAGTATTTTTGTGATTTTACTTTTGTCTATATAGATATAAGAAGATGTGGTATGAGTGCCAATGAGACAACTCTCCATCCAAGTCAAAATGTATAAAAGTAAACCATTATAGGTCAAAGTACGGTCTTCAACACGGAGCCTTGGCTCACACCAAACAGCAAGCTATAAAGGGCCCCAAAAATTACTAGTGTAAAACCATTCAAACGGGAAAACCAACGGTCTAATCTATATAAAAAACGAGAAACGAGAAACACGTATGAACGGTGTGTTCCCATTTCGCCTTAGCTGTGAATTCCAGGTAAAAAAGGTAAAAAAATTACTAAGGCGAGATGGGAATTGAACTAAGGCGAAAGGTGAATTTAGATAAAAATTTTAAATAAACAAATTAAACTTCTGTGTTTTTATAACAATTTAAACAACATGTAATTATAACATGTTTAATGTGTCTTTGATTCAGTATGGTGATCCTTAAACTTGGTAACTAAATGGATTTTGAACATTCCAATGTGTCCATCAGTGCCTTGTTTTTCATAATATGAACTATCATGGTACAATTTATTTATGTTTATGGAAATAATTCTTATGTTTTATGTATTAGAGCTTTTTTCTCAGGCGATTATTTATTACATGTACATTTTCTTTAGTAGTTTGCTAATTTAAAATTGTGCTTGTAATTCAGTGCTGATTCAGAAATAAAATATTTGTTATGATTGTATGATATTTGTCTTTATTTTATTCATTAAAATATGAAATATTCCGTATCCTATTTGTCATCTCTAATAAGAAACAACAACAAAGACTTATTTACAAAAAATATCACATAAGTAAAAAAATAAATTTTGAAAAAGATGATCCACTATAAAAAGAATTATTCAAAAAGTGGGACAATCGGGAAGACACCAAAAAAGCATCTTCTTTTAAAAAGTATTTCATTGCAATACAAACAAAAAAATAACTTAATTACATTGTTTACACAAGTGTATGAACCACACCAACAAACGACAACTACTGAACATCAGATTCCTGACTTAGGACAGGTGCAATCAATTGCAGCGGGTTTAAACGTTTTAATGGTACCAAACCTTTACCGCTTTTCTAAAACAAAAGTGTAACATCACAACATAGAAAGACACACTATAAAATAACAACTAAAATGGCTTAACTCAATCAAAGGACATATTAACACCTGAACATACACTGAACAAATAAATTTGATCTATGATACAATGTAAATACAAAATAAATGCCTTTTTGTGCTTCTTTGTTACATATGACGTAACTCTGTACTCATACATCCCGTCATTGTGTTATTGTGCTATGGTAAATTGTTTTATTCTTGTCTTTCATTAATGCGACTGTCATACAAGTGAGAGGGTTAGCTAGCTATAAAGACTTTCCTTTTGAATTTTCCTCGGAGTTCAGTATTTTTGTGATTTTACTTTTTTCGACATTTTCAAATACGAATGAATTGACATGGTTTGATAAACATGTATCATGTTTATTTTGAAAAGGTTCAAAACTGTTGATATATTAAAAAAAAACATGTAGAATACAAAAAGGGAAAGAAGATACCAAGGAAGGAATCAAAACAACAATCACCAAAACTAAAGGTCAACACGAAACTCACAAATACCAGGGTCAAACTTACGTGAAAGGGTACAGCAGTTCGTGCTTCAATAGAAACACAATTAAGTCATGTGTTCAAGTATATAAAACTAAAAATTACTGAATAGTAAATATATCTAACAAAACTACTCCTGAACCAATTTTACATTTACTATAAACCTTTTACATTTCTTGTGCTGATGCAGAGTAAAGCAATCACCAATCAATCAAACAATTTTATATTTCAATTTAGGCATTACACTCAGCCTAATGTTTTTAAAATGTTATATATTCACCAGGTATACAGGGTGTGATATCAAGTATTGATAGTAATGGAGATGCAGAAGGCAATTACACTCTACTTGCTCGAGTACCATATGTTTCTAAACATGCCAATTTTTCAATGCAACCTGTTGGACATTTTCTGATTGGAAGCAAATTACCTGTAAGTGTATTCCATACTCATATTTATTAACAAAGAACATAATAATACACGTGTAAGCAATACCTGTATATAATTGTATTTTATAACGTCAGACACATGTCTAAATCTAAGCATTACAAGATGTGCTTTTTATTTTGTTCAGCTCAGTTATATCTCCTACACGCACTTAGGCTGAAAAATAATGCCCCAAAAACATTTTTGTTAAATGCATATCATTTGTATATTTTTTTCACTTTCATTGGAAGTGATATATCTATATAAAAATGAGAAATTTGATATGATTGCCAATGAGGCAACCATCCACTAGAGATCAAATGACGAGGATGTTTACATCTCTAGGGCAGCTTATGGCATACAACAATAAGCAAAACCATTACCGTATTGTAAGATTGTTTGTTTCATTGTTACCGAATTATGCAAAATACGATCTCGTTTTGACTTGTGTGTAATTCTTTATAATACAGTAACTGTTAGTTTCTGCTAATAATATTTAAATAGGAAACACGATTTTCTTTATTGCAGAGGCTTTCTCTCTTTAAAGACCATAACATAGACTGGGTATCTGGTATGATTCCATTAGATGAACCAGTTTGTGGTTACAGAAGGGAAAAATGTATTCCACCAAATGGTAGGCATATACTTCAGTTCAGTTTATACATGTAACCAATTAGACAAATGTACCAATTTAATTCTATATATTTAAAATTATAAACAAGTCTAAATTGAAAACAACGTTCAAACCTATGATTGCGTTGGATAAAAACTGCAATTTTTATACGTGTGCATGCAAAACAAATTTCTTGTTAGAGGGGTCTAAATACAGCACAAACAACATTTTCCAAAAGACCAAAAAAGTGAAAAAGTATATTGAAAATTATACATAGTGCACTTGTATTTAGTTAATACTGTGTATACTACTTTTCTAATGACAACATTCATTCATTTTAACTCGATAGGAATAAGGCTATTAATATAAACATGTAACATGTTAATGTGGGACACTAAATTTTCATAATACCCCAACAATGTGTCAGTCTTGCTTACAATGAAAGTTACCAAAATACAAATGAATAAAAAGAAATATGGAATTTACGTCAATGTAACAGTAACCCAACAACTAAAAAAACCATTGATAATTGATAACCGATGAATATGGTTCACTACAAAGGGCTCTTATCATTATTTCTTCTTGTTTTGCATTTCAGTTTAAAAAATGTTGCTGTTTTCAATTAAGTATTACGTATTAATAAAGAAACGTTTAATTCTCGCTTTTAAAGTTACAAATCACGTCTGTTATAGGGACATGAAACTGTAATGCAATTGAACGATGCCAGTAATTGAGCTTCAATCTTCATATTTACTTGAATATTCTTTACATTTAAATTTTTCATTGCAGTTTATACACTTGAAATTGTTGGTGGAATAATAGGCGGGATTTTATTAATAGTCTTTATTATAATATTAGTAGCTTACAGGTAAGCCATTTTTTATCTCTCCAAAAACAAATGTTGTGTACTTTGCTACACATAATTAAACAAAACTACAAAGTTAAATCTTTTAGGAAAATGACTGTTCAAAATTAAGATAAAAAAACTATTAATTTCAAATCATTAGAGATATCTGAATACATTGGCAATAAACTCATCATAGATACCAGGATTGGAATTTTGTATTTGCGGCAGATGCGCGTTTCGTGGGACGTTGCGCACGATGTTGGTACCAATTCCATTTTGCTATAGATTAGCATGAAAATGAATACGTAGACTGGTCAGTTCGATAAAAATATAGTGATTTCTGGTTGAATTTATTACATTAGACTTGAAAATATAGAAAAAAAGGAACCGAAATTTAAAATATCAAGAATTATAACACTTAATTATCCCATTTTTACGCAAAAACGTAATGTCCAACGTTAAATTTTGTGTGCAAAAGATCGGAGCTCCGTTTCTTTCCTACGGTATTTTTTTTTTTGATAATCGTAAAACTTCACAAGAGTATTGCTATTGTTATTGTTATTCGCGTGTTAAAGCAAAATCAATATCACTGAAAGCGTAAACCGGAAAATGTTATTTTTGAAACCGGTGTGAAAAATGTCCAAGCATATGCAAGGTAAGCATATATCGGGTTTGCGCATTTATACCGTGAAATTGGAAAAGCTGAGAGGGAAAATATTTATGATATTTTGAAAGTTTTTTTAGTTTTCTCCTGGTTCATGATATTTTTTTGCCAGAAACCATGCGTATAGTTTCTATTGCAATGACTTCAAAAAGTATAGCCATCTTGTCCCAACGAAAAAAACGCTGTATTTTCTTTGCAATTGAGGTTTTAACCGGCTGTATATTAAATAAGCAAAGTTAGATCATAGAAAATAAAACTAGGCAGTAAAAGTTTTTTTCTTTTTCTTTTTAAACAATATAGTGTTTAACATTTTTTCGATTGGCAACACGATTTTTAGATCGTTTCAAAAAGTATAGCCGTTTTGTCCCAACGTTCGCAAAACGTAATTGATGTCATGCTCGGGTTTTTAATTTTATATCATAATTATTTGTTTCCAGTTTAATTCGTATGAAAATAAAAATATAAGTTATAATATAACCAATGTATGATAAAGGAAAGGTTTAAGTTTAACATAAAAGGTTGACCAAATGAGATTGATATAAAAAATATCGGGATCTTAGTTTTTTTCAGCACATTCATGACATTTGTTTTATTCAAGGAACGTTGTCTATCTGCAAGTTTTTAAAAAATCATCAAAAGCAACATGCATATTTTTTTTGTTAATAAAATAAAATAGAGAAAAACTATTGCTGGCAAATATAACAAAACAAAGGATATGCATATGCCACAAAAATACGGAAATGAGAAAAACATGAATCCAAAATGTTTAACTATCTAGAAATTTTGCGACATAGAAAGCATCGTGAAATGATAAAATATAGAAAGGAAACGGAAACGGAAGGAAATGCAACAAAAGGAGTATGTATAAACATGCATTAAAAAGGGAAAATAGATTCAAAATCTAATTTATATTTAAAACAAATCTGTATAAATTTGGAAATTAATGTATGATTCATTAATGCGAACTGCTGCCAAAAGTAAAATTATCAATTATGGCCTGGAAAGACTGACAACTCCTATAAATGAATATTCATTAACAAAAATATGTGTACGACCACTTTGAGTTTTATTTGTTAAACTAAATTTACAGAAATCGGTTATCAAATTCACAACAGTAAATTGACCTCATCAATTATAAGCTTAAACGCTTGAAACGTTCTTTGAAATCGTCGAAATCGCATCATTATGAGGAACGTCGTGTAACGCTAAGTAGTACCAACATCGTGCTAACGTCTCTACAAAAGACTCATCAGTGACGCTACAAACAGAGTTAAAAAGGCCAAATAAAGTACGAAGTTGAAGAGCATTGAGGACCAAAAATTCCTAAAAGTTTTGCCAAATACAGCTAAGGTAATCTATTCCTGGGGTAGAAAGCCTTAGTATTTAAAAAATTCAAAGTTTTGTAAACAGTTAATTTATAATTATGACCATATCAATGATAATTCATGTCAACACAGAAGTGCTGAATATGCTTTATAGGGAAGACAGTAACGACACAACCGATTGACGGAATATCCGTCTCATAACGACTCTCATTAGTCTGGAAACATATATATATATATAATAGAATAAAACCAATAATATTTGCGATGAATCAGAGTCGTATATAACATAAAGTGTCATGTGTCAAGGCCAGGACTTACATTAATATTTTACTTGAAACGCTTCTTTTTGGAAACTTGCTTATCTATTTACAACCATTATATTGGTTAGGTTCGTGACTGTAAAAAGATGACTTGCATGTTAGCTAGGTTCTTGTGTATCTAAGTGATCAAATATTATATCTAATTGTCTGTCAAGGGTCTTCTCTTAAGGATGGTATAAATGAAACGAAGCTACATTAATTTTAATCACTAATAGAATCACACAGTATGGTGTAGTTCATATGTTCTTTCCCATTAGTAAAAAAAAAAAACGTATTCAGACTACATGACATATATTTATTCGTATTTAAGGAATATGTTCGCTAAAACCCTGACATGATTTTATAGTGCTTGTAATATGGCAACATCCTATAATTACATTACATGTATGTTTTGTAAGAACCCGTCCTTTTGATTGGCTGACAGCAATCGCGAGGCTTTCTAAAATTTTATTTTATTTATAAAAAAAATGCAACATTCTTGTCTTTGCTTCCCATGACAACGTCACGACAGTGCATAGGAGAACAAACAAAAAGCTTGGTAAAGTTTAATAGGATTGTAATTAAATTGAAACGGTTCCGCGCTTCGTACAAAATGTGCTTTGGTCAACGCTCTTACACCCTTATGTAATTAAAGAAAGAAGCATTCAATTCTTAATGAAGTTTAAAAAATATGGTCTTTTTTTTTAAAGTGTATTACTATACGATATTGGTTTTTCTCATTTTTGAAGGCCGTACGTACGGTGACTTATAGTCTTAACTCTACGTTATTTTGTCTCGTATTTTTACATTGAAGAGTTACACAAGTGAGCGTTTTGTGCAATAAATCATATTTTTACCAATTATGTGTTGCCTTTACAAGTGTCTGTACCGTTCCATGTACATTACAATTGTAACATGTATTGACATTTGATTTAGACATTGTCATTTCTTATTTCCTATTTATAGGTTTGACTTGATACGAACGGCTATTATATCATTGTTTCGCGTTTTATTTTTTGTCGATTATCACACCGACAAAAAACTGCAATATTTACTTCAATATGAAAATAAAGAGATGTGGTATGATTGCCAATGAGACATCTATCTACCAGAGTTTAAATGACCAAGATAAATGCAATTATACCAGACGAGTTTTATATATATGCATTTGTGGTAAAATATAACATTCTTGATATTTTTGTTTTAGTATGTTTAGACAGATTCACATTCCTTATTTCTCATAAATTCAAACGAAAACCTAAGTTTGAATTCATCTAAAAAAGAAATAAGAAGTTTGCATTAACAATAATTCCTTTTTTGTGATTATGTAATTTCATTATACGAGAATGGTCAAGTTGAAAAGCTAAATTTTGAAATCGGACAAAAACGACAGTCTAATATGTACCACCTTTGAAAAGTATTTAGCCAAAAGATAAATTTTCACTTCTGTACTCGTACTATGAACAACAAATTAATTTATTTTGAAAAAAATATTTCCGTAACAACAAAATTATTATATATAAACTTACCTGTGTACGTTATTTTATTCAACGCCATTTTGTCCAAGGTTATAGTTGTCATTTTGACATTGTTTTACATCCCCCCCTTTTTTTTTATTAATATTGTATTTATATTTTGTCATAGATCAAATTTATTCGTTCAGTGTATGTTTACTTGTTTTTTTGTTAATATGTCTTTTTGATCGAGTTAAGCCATTTCAATTGATATTTTATAGTGTGTCTTTCTATGTTGTAATGTTACACTACTGTTTCCGGTTAGGTTGAAGGTTTGCGCCTGTTAAAACGTTTAAAACCGCTGCATTTGTTTGCACCTGTCTTAAGTTATGAACCTGTTGTTCGATGGTTGTCGTTTGTTGATGTGGTTCATAAGTGTTTCTCGTTTCTCGGTTTTTATATAGATTAGACCGTTGGTTTTTCTGTTTGAATTGTTTTACACTGGTCATTTCGGGGCCCTTTATAGCTTGCTTAAGTGTGAGACAAGGCTCCGTTTTGAAGGCCGTACTTTAACCTATAATTGCTAACTTTTTACACATTGTGACTTGGACGGAGTGTTGTCTCATTGGCACTCATACCTAATCTTCTTATATCTATGTAGAGGGTTGTTTCTCATTTGATAATTCAAAATTTGATGACCGTTTAACTGTGTTGATCGAAACTTTCCCGATGCTCTTGGCATAAAGAAAACTAAATATACATATTTGCTCCATATCTTGACTTTAGATAGAAATTGTCACGGAGGGATGGTTAAGAACTTTATTTTACATTGCCTTAGCCATATGTGGTGAAACGTTTTGGAATTTTGAAAATTTAATCTTCTTCAACTTCGAATTTTATTTAGCTTTCTAAATATTTTTATTAGAGCTCAACTGATAAATCTTCTGTAGACGAAACGCGAGTTTGGCATATCAAATGATAAGCCTGGTATCTTTGATGTCCATTACAAAAAAAAGTGACCCCCAAGGGTGACTGGGGAATAGAAATATGGTCACCATTGGTCTTCCTCCGACCGGCGGTAAAACCCTCGCTAAAGTGGGGCGTCCGTTTGGCTGTGCGGGATGTACAAGTACGCAGCCACGTCCGGTCAGAATGGGGACGTTAAATCCGATGCCTCGTGTAGAGAGAATGCCACGCTCTCTGCACGTTAAGAACTCTTGCAACAACTCTTTGAGGGGTTCGTAGGTGACCTGTTGCAAGGCAAAATTGCTGTCCCTATCCAATTTACCCTCATTTTCCAGTGGCAGTCTAAATTTCCCCGACCTTCTTCCCGGATGGCCTACATTACAGAACCTACCTATTGTATTTATTTTTAATTTGTTCTCGTCCTGAATATGCATGAAATATTTGCCACTGGACGTTAAGCAACCAACAATCAATCAATCAAAAAAAGTGATGACTGATTTTCAAATTGGGAACATTTGATTTTTGTGTAGCAACAATAAAACAGCACTTCCATATTAAGTGTTTATATATCCAAGTTGATACAATATTCCATGTCTTCAGTTTCCTATGAGGATTTTCCGTTCGGAATAGTTGCTACTTACATGGCAGCTATTGAAACAGGGGTCCTTAATGGTACAGTTGAAGTCATCTCATCGAAACTTTTACTAACGCTTTCATAGTTTGATTTGACTGATATGAAGCATCTGTGTTACACATAAATACGGTTCTATTCAATTTGTCGTACCGCAATACTGTCGTCCACACTCGATTTTAAGTCAAGATATGAGTCAGATTTAGTTCTACTTGTCGTATCCTGTAAATCAAGTTCGATAGGATAGATGCACTTTACATTGTCACCAAACTTTTCAAATCTTTTATGAAGAGAACATCAGCGGGATCTAAAATCAAAAGATAATGCATGTTCTCCTCATTGTTCTAAAATACTGGGTTATACAATTAAAATAGCAAATTGAAAACACGAGGAGGAGCACATATGGTGGTCTTAGGAATGTCGTCTATCTGTTGGAAAACTTGTCCGCCCGACAACAAGTTCGTGAATGAAGCAAGTTAGTGTTAATTATCACACATTTTACAGAAGAGTATGTATAGAACCATATGACACTTTATTTTACAGGAACTGGAGATATGAACAGGAAATTGCTGGTCTATCATGGCAGATTTATACACACGATATTAAATCAACTCACACTAATGGTAAAGTGTCACCATATGTTACTATGGTTAACGCAGGTAGTACTGTAAGTCAAAGTTGTACTTTTTTTTATTCAGATCTCATTTTCAATTGTATTTTCTAAGATAAATAAATCTTTACTTATGAATTGATCAGCTTCTTTTAATTTTTTTTTTTATAAAGGATTAAAAAAAAAAAACAATATTCAACACTTTAATGTTACATTTATTCAGCCTTGTGTTTTACAAGGATTTTCGTTTTTTGCAGCCCCCGACAGTCTGCAAGTATCAAGACAAATAACTGAGTGACCTTGCTGTTTATCTTTACGTAGAGAATATGAAATATTTATCTTGCTGACAAAATATCTATAATTAGAAAAGTAAAGTTTATTTTTTATTTACACAATGTATCTGAATAGAATACAAAAGAAACATGTTCATAGTAGTAAAGTTTAGAAATATCATTTAATAATCAACAGGTTTCCTTAAACAGTAACCAATCTTTAGATTCCCGGATGTCGTTCACTCAAGTATATATAAAAACTGGTACCTATAAAGGCCAAATAGTGGCACTGAAAGTGTATGAAAGTAAAATGCTGCATATCAACAGAGACATTAAAAAACAAATGAAAATGGTAATATTTATTTAATATTATTTACTAGACATACCATGCAACCAAAGGTTGGAAAGAGACAAATCTGACCTTCATAATACAATAATTTTGACCAATATCATCGAAAACTCGAACAGCTCATGCTTTTCCACACAATGTGTTAAATGTATCTACATATAAAGGAACATATTTTCACGCATGCATACTAAAATAAAACTGGAAATATCAGTTCTCGCAGATGATTACGACAAATTTATTTCGTGGGTACATCTAAAATTATCTAATTTAAAGATATACGTGTAACTTACAATTAGTCATGGCAAACAATTATTTAAGCAATACATACATTCTTTAAGATACATACTGAAGACGTATTTGCCAGAATAACTATTTTATATTATAAAGCCAGGTATTTTACAAATGTTTCTTCAATTTGTGTTTTGTGGGCATTTTATTCCGTTCAAATCAAATAAAATCAAATCAAAGTTTTATTTAAAGTCGATATTCAATAAACTACATAAACACAAGCTCTAGTGAGCTTTTCAAATCGACTGAATAACAAAATATATACACACATACAAAAGTCACGAAAACAACACAATTTTAAACATACAGTGCATGGTAAGATAACATAGATGACTTATAAAAGTTAAAAGCATAGTATGCAAAATAAAGTATTGCATAAAACAGAGCATAATTTAAAATGAAAAGCACAGCAGATAATAGCAACTAAAAAAGGTAAGCAAATCAAACAGTCAAACAATATAAAAATTTAAAAAAGCACAAGCATAAAAGCACTATATGCATGCACTGCACTGGCATGAGCTGTTATTTGGATTCCATGTTTGTACCTATGTTTTGAATTGGTCAAAAGATGTTTCAATTCGACAATGGTTAGGCAGCTCATTCAAGATTTGTGCAGCATTATAGCGAAACGATCTCAAACCATACCTTGTATTTCTGACTCTCGGGAGTACCTCTGTTTTCTGCAATCTAAAATTGTACTTCTGAACTTAAATAGCAATTAAATCATAAAGATAACTTGGACTATTCTTGTGAATTATTTTAAATGTTTCTGTCGCAATAGTTTTTATTTTTCCTATTTTTTAAAGAAGGTAATTTTGACTTTTCTAGCAGTTTTTCGTATGAAGTATCACAATCTTCATAGAGGAATCTAGGAGCTCTTTCTTAATTTTTTTTCTATTTAAAAGAATTTTTTTCACTTCAGTAGTGCCAAATTACTGGACAATAATTAAAATTCGAAAGAATGAATCAATAGTATGCTGTTAATCTATCTAGCCTGTTTAAATATTTACCCATTCGTTTTAGAATATTTATTGTCTTGTTTTTATATATTTTAGATATATGATTGTTAAAGTTTAAGCCCTTTCCATTTAGATTGAATATCAAAATAATTCTTTGTAAAATGCTTTAATGTAAACATACACAGTGGCAATTTTTTTTTATTCAATAACAGATTATTACATCGGTTGCAATGAAATACCGTGATTTCCCAATGAAAAAAAAGGATTAATTAATCGAAGAATTCAAATATCGAAAAATATTCAACTCGTGACCGAACAACACTGATAATTAACTCATGCGCTATGCGCATTTATGAATTAATGTGTTTTTTCGGTCACTCGTGAAATATATTTCTATATTTGAATTCTTCGGTTAGTTATTCTATAAATGCGGTGATGAATTATCATGCAGATGATAGTATATAACATCAGACAGTAAACAAAAAGGAGAAGATTCGTAAAGTCAACGAGACAATAGTTCATCAACTTTTCATCTACATATTACTTTTCAGTCGTTAACGATGAAGACAAATATTATACAGTACGAAACTCTATACATATTCTTCCTGAATTTGAACAAGCAGTAAATGATTTCATCATAAAAAATCTTAAACATGACATCCAAAACCAAATTCGGAATGAAAATAAAAGTAAAAACTAACATAATGAGACAGACAGTCAAAATAAACACGCACTGCGTAGAGTTCCTATATACAAATATAAACATGAGAACAATATTGGTCAGTTTCCCCCTGGTGTCTTTCTTATGAAATCGTATCTTAAGGTATATAATATTATACATCAATTTTTTTTCAGATGCGAGATTTACGGCATATGAATATCAATCCGTTTGTTGGTGCTTGTGTTGATACGCATAATTTTATAATTGTTACAGAATATTGTTTTAAAGGAAGCCTTCAGGTATGTTTAAAACGTTTACCTTTCTCACGTTAGGAACATCAGCTGAGCTATATCGTCCTCAATTCGAGCTACATATATTATATTATTCCGGGTATCGACATTAATGGCACACACACGAAAGTGATTACGGACAACGCTGGTTAACGTACTACGTGAAGTAAAGAGATTTTGAGTAATTAGAACGATGACCAACTATTCAAATCGATTATAAGCCGTAAAATTTGACGCGAAAGTTTCGCGGAACATAGAATTCTAATTGAACATCTTTTTGGTGAAAAAAAAACCAAACTATACAGTAAAGTTATGGGTACACTATGGAGACATCGATGCCATGATTTACAGGAATTGAAGAGACTTGTGCTTGTTTTGTCAAGAAACGTGGATTTGATCAAATCTTGTCTAATATTCATTACCCGAATTTATCTAGGAAGGTAGAAACTAACCATCTTAAAAGATTTCTGCACACTCGATTCAAAAAATCAGTCCGTTGGGTTTTCTCTTTTGAATTGTTTCACGTGTTGTCATGTCTCTAATACTGCAGTATATTGTGCTCATTGATAGAGCCCGTAGGATGACGTCTACGAAGAATATTGCCTAATACCGGCGTCACACATTAGCGTATAGCACCGACGTATGCCGGGCGAGGTCAAAAACCATGTACGCTGCCAATACGCTAGTAATTTTGGACGCATTCAACTTGTCAATCATATCTGTATCGTGTGCACAACGAGCTTTAAGCGTGTTTAGGGCGTACGAGAAGCGTACATAAGCGTTTATCGGGCGTTCAAGTAACGTATGTTGGCGTATGTCTGGCGTTTGTCTTACGTAGATGAAATGCACGCTAGGAAGGAAAAACGTCCCTTGAACGTATTTGAGACGCGTCCCGGTCGTACCTGGGACGATTATCAGTGTTTTCGGCGTGTCTGGGACGTGTAATTATGGGGTGTATGTACTACTTCTGGATGTACATGGTCTTGTGTTCCCGCCTTTTTCATAACAATTCATTTCGAAATGCCACCCAAAGGAAGAGGCAGAGGTAAATCAGTTCTAGGTCGTGGCCTGGGCCGTGGGATGATGAGAACGTCGGGAACAATAAAGAGAGTGCAAGAAGAGAATACTGGGGACCAGATTCAAGAAGTCAGTCTACCAAGTCTTCAAAGTTCAAGTCGCCCTGTTAGTCCAGTTTGATTTTTGCCTCGCCTGCGTCTAAAGACTCTGGAGGCGAGACATATATATATAGCTATACCGGCGGCGGCGGCAGTGCGTTAACAAGTTGGTGAAAGCTTTATTACTCAGAAGGAAGAAGACCTAGAGCATCCATATTTCATCCATAGATGCCTTATGTTGCAAGTTTTCTGTCCGTCACATGTCAGATGTCCTTGACCTCATTTTCATGGTTGAATGACTTTGTTTATTTTGCGATCAGTTTTCGTGATTAGGTCAGTTTCTCAGTACATAGAAAACCTAAAGTTATGGTAATTGGTCTATAGACTCCTCAGTAAGTGCCCATGTCAGTCTGACATATGTCACTAAACCTTGACCTTGTTTTCATGCTCGAGTGATCAATTAAGAATTTTCTATTCCGACATGCCAGTAAGCAGGCGAGACATTTTAGCGTGTCCACTCTTGTGTAGACTTTGCACTGCAGACTTTCTTCTTTTACCATATATCGCAATATTGATGTGCATGACGTCATACTGTTCCTGTATACATGGGTGAATTAAGAAGCATGAAAGAACGTTTTCAATTATAACCAAGACAAGTGAGTGTAAACATAACTTATTAAACCATTTTACAGATGTGATCAATTTATTTTTCAATTATTATTCATGTCTCATATCATTCTGTCCTGCCAGGCAACTGATCCAGCAGGCGAGTTTATCGTCAATATTAGCTGCTGTAACATTCTGGGTATCCTGCAGATTCGGTCCCCGCCTCCAAGCTCCTGGAATTAAATTCCTGTTGATGGGGTGTTCACAATCTAGTTGTTGGTCCTGAAGCCCAGGATAGCGAATTCTCATCAGATTGTGTAGAATTATGCATGTCTTCACTATCAGATGAACTGTTGATCTGGAATGACCCATTGTTGAGAGGAGAATTCTGAATCTTTTGGACAAAATACCTATCGCGTTCTCCACAACACGCCTTGCTCGCGATAGTCTATATCTGAATATACGTTTTCTCTATGAGAATAGGGTTCCATCATCGTCGTTCTTAGGGCGTCATCTCCAATGAAATAGTAGGGAACGTCTTCGGTATCATTTGGAAGAGGCTCGGCATCGGGGAAGCCTATGCTTCCATCTTCCGCTGCTTCTCTTAATTCGGACTCATTATACATCTGAGCATCAGAACAGGCACCGTTTGCTAAAATGTAGAGAATATGAAATTATCGCAAAAAGTTCCATATATGAAGAAATATGAAATCTCATGATATTTTTTTTCAAATGTATATATGTAAATTCTTGAGTGACTTACATGTATGCTAAAATAAATGTCATAAAAAAAAGTAAAATAGCAAAAATACAGAACTCCAAGGAAAATTCAAAACGGAAAGTCCTTTATCAAATGGCAAAATCAAAAGCTCAAACACATCAAACGAATGAGAAACAACTGTCATATTCCTGACTTGGTAAAGGCATTTCCTTATGTAGAAAATAGTGGATTAAACCTGGTTTTATAGCTAGCTAAACCTCTCACTTGTATGACAGTCCCATAGAATTCCATTATATTAACTTCAATGTGTGAGATACCAAGGTTAACTTATTTTGCCACGAATGACACGTGTTTCGACTTTTAAGGTTTCGTCAGATTCGTTTAAAAAATATATATATATACACGAGGATCTGTTGCTTCGTTTGTGCTGCTCTTTGATTTCCCTTTGTTTTCTGGATTGGACGCTTTGCTTATTTACGAAGTTGTTATATTAGATTCTGAAACAGTATTACAAGCAATAAAATTTGTAAGTTTTTTCTAACGTTTTAAAGGATTTTTACATAAAATTATATAAATATCTTACCTCCAACATCTGCCCATATAAACTTGTAATCACCATCAACCAAGGCTAGCATGACTATGGAGAAGAATCCATTATAATTGTGGTATAATGAACCCGAACGAGCCTGTTTCTTTATGGCAATATGCTTTCTATCCAGCGCTCCACAGCAATATGGAAAATGCCATCTGCGCATAAATTGATCAGCAATTGCTTTCCATTCCTCTGGATCATTTGGAGGAGTCATGACCTCACCTGTATATTCATCAATAATTACACTGCATACTTCCCTAACAACTACAGACAAGGTGTTACCAGGAACTCTCCAGGAAAATTTCATATCGGCATAGGTCGATCCAGCAGCAAGATGGCGAAGAGTTGCGGCTAGTTTTAACCCAGGCTCTAGCGGTTCTCTTTGAACATACAAAACGGAACAGTTAAACTTAAAATTATAATTGTTTACATTCAATGTGTAATACCATTTTATTTTATTTACTTTTCTAGATTCAATATTGTGTACTTGGTCACGTATTACAGCTTGCAATTGCTTATTGATAATTTAAGGACGTGACTCAATTATCAGACAGTCGGACGTTACTATTGCGTACTGATTATTTTACTGTATTCGTAATGACAGAAAACGGAAAGTTTTTTAAGCCATAACAAAAAAAACTACCGGAACCATGTATATTGTTTGGAAACCCTATGCTGGATCCTCTGAAGAAGTTCATCGTGCATTTCTACGGGCATTTTCATAAAATTCCTGAAACTGCTCTGATCTTCTTGTCTAAGTTCAACTAATAGTTGGTCATACAATCCGAACTGCTATCTCCGTTATACCCACGGCTGCTGCCATAGACCTTTTCGCTGACGTCTTCGACGCCTTTTAATGCCTTGTAAGTATTGGTGAATGTTAAGGTGAATTTGGTCTACATGTTGTTGAGCCATGGCTAGAAGACATGCCCTCCTGTTTCTCTCCAGGCAATCCATTATAGCAAGTGCCAAACTGAACACTGCCCAACCTTTATACCATTTTATACATGCACTTGGATATGCAAATTCACGGACATATGCCACTACAAATGTCAGAGCAAGTTTCGTTGAATGTCAGAATACGTTTTTGATACGCCACGGGTGTGTTTTATACGTTCACGGAACGCTGAAACTACGCCAGGCGTATGTTACAAACACGCCCCGCATACGTCCAAGTTAAAGTCGAACGATCTTGAGGCGTATACAACGTGCCCTAAACGTGTCTCAAACTTATCTGTGGCGTTTTTCAACGCGCTTGTAACGCATGTATTACGTGCGTGTAGCGAACAGATATACGCTTGACAAACGTTAGAGCTAGATGAAAATTTTTATGCTGCATAATTTCCTAGAGTTATAGCGTTCACCAAGCGTATACCTTTGCATTTCGACATACTTCAAACTTATGCAACGCGCGTCTAACGATTGCTTAGCGTTCCTCTTGCGTGCACTTGCGTGCACCTAACGTATAATGGTTTACTTTTATAAATTTTGACTCGGATGGAGAGTTGTCTCATTGGCACTCATACCACATCTTCTTATATCTAGTTAGTCAATTTTCTCTGTACGTCTATTGCACGTCGGTCTATACGCCAATGTGTGACGCCGGCATAACATAGATTTGTCACTTATTTAGACGTATATGTATTATTTATTTTATTTGTTTGGTTACGTTCTTTGTTTCCTTGTATCATAATTCCGTTTCATGTTTTTGTTGTTTGGTCTTTGCATCCTTTCCTTTCAACATTTGACAATAGTAATGTTTTTAACGTTCAGGATCCTTCCTCATTTACTATAAATATAAAGCATTACATTTAATATGATTTTACAGCAATCATAACGACAGAAATATTATATAATATTGTCAATATGAGATAATATTTTAAGTCCATAGGTTCCTGATTTCTTTTGAAAAACGCGATTAGCGATCTTAATAGAGACATCCATGCTATTTAATCATATCAAAGAGAAAAATTTAATGAAGATAATGACATAGGAATATGGATAGCTTATGAAAAAGAAATGTTTATAGCTTTTGAAGCTACATTATGATGACACATTCGCAAAACTAAAAATAAATCAAAAGTAAAAACAATGACGAAAAAAAGAAAGAAAAAAATCCGCCGTATGGATTCGCTTGTTATGTCAAACATAACGAATATTGAAATTCGTTTCGATCTAAATAAATTCATCATAGATACCAGGATTAAAATTGTGTACGCTAGACGCGCGTTTCGTCTACAAAAGACTCAGCACTGACGCTCGAATAATAAAGTTAAAAAGGTCAAAATAAAGTACGAAGTTGAAGAGCTTTGAGGACCCAAAATTCCGAAAGATTTTGCCAAATACAGCTAACTTAAAGGTAATCTATTCCCAGGGTAGAACATCCTTAGTGTTCGAATTGATAGTTTCATGTTTATGTTTTATTTGAAAAAGTTGCCTTTCATTAGAACGTTTTACACTTAATGTAAACCAAACATTATGGTACAGCATATTTAGTCCTATAGTTGTTAACTTCTATGTCATTTTGTGTCTGGTGGAGTGTTGTCTCATTTGTAATAATACCAAATCTTCTTACTTTTATATTTCAACACATAATAAAGTAACAAATAAAAAAAACGATTCAAAGTGTCAGAAACAAAAGATTTATTAAAATTAACACTGCTTGTCTTATAGGTGTCATTGGGACTAATTTTCATTCATTATGCATTTTTAACATTCTACGTATCTCGTCGACACGGGTCCAGTATTTATCTTTTATAACAACTACCAGAAGAACATTGTTATAAAAAATGCAGAAAGGAAACATGTCCTTTTTACATCGGAGTGTTTTCATTTATCGGTAAAAGTTTGAGGTTTTTACAATTAAACCATCGAGAAATCCAGCGATTTCGATGCAGACTGCAGATTTTCCAATCAATTTTAAAGCAGAAAAAATAAATATTATTTAATACCACACGGTAATCCGAAAAAGAAAGGCCCCTCATCCAACATAATCTCATAATATTTTGAGACTAACATGATAATAATAAAATGTGTTGATTTTTTACCTTTGTTCCGTTTCGTTTTCACAAGCCCTTCCACAATTGTATTAGGTTCTGGATCTTTATATTTTGGTCTGGACCATCACTAAAAGGAAATGTATTTGCGAAGTGCATCTGATGTAGTGAAATTGGTACCATTAATGTTATTACATTTACAATGCGTTATGTCGCACAAATTAGTTTTTACTATGGAACTAAATCATTAAGTAAAATTCGTATCTTAGGTCAATAATAAAGAAATTAACATGAAGTTAAATGTTTTGAAGTGAAAAAAAATGTACTATTTGACACATACTTTGTTTATCAGCTCCTTACAAGTATCAAGAATTTCTAATCAATCTCCGTTATGAGATCCTCTCAACCTGTCAGGAAGGATGACCAGAAACAATCAATTCATTCTACAAATATGAACATTTATATTAGCAATAAGTACAATCTAACGAATTTTTATAGGAAATAATCCTGTCATCTATAAAATAGATAGCATAGTAAGTGGTGGTCTGTTAATCGGTTATTGTCAATTGCAAAATTATATTAAGAGTATTTTGTCATGTCAAAATGCAATTTATTTGCCGTTTTGCATTTTTTCAAAACGCTAAGCGGTTGTTGAGGAAACTTATTTTTAAAGGAAATTATCAAACCACGCATTTCTGTCAAGTATCTCTTCCTTGTACGAACTCCCCATCTTCATCATATGATATATCACATCAGATAAAGAAAATGGCATTTAATAAATTGTGCGCGTCCATGGAACCAGCCTGTATCATGGTATTAAAAGCATATAATTATATTAAAGGGGCATTAGCTACAAAGACAACATTTTTAAATACGATTGTTTTTGTTTCAAGTATTAATAGATATGGAATTTCTAAATTACATTTCGTTATAAGCAGCCAATTTGGTCAAAAGTTGTCAAAAAAAACTTTAAAAACATTTGATCAGATGTATTATTTACTTGCAAGTCAATGATTCAACCTCATTTAAACCATATTCATGTGACCTTCAATTTTAACCCTTAGCTAGAGATTGTTTACGCATGTACGAGGCGTGTTCAGCTATGAAAAGGAAAAACTTGTCAACATTGAAAGTGAAAACAGGCTAAACCATTTAGTTGACTGGATCGATAAAAAAAATTGCATTCTTATACAGTTAAAAACGAGGATTAACATATTGTAATAACCTATAATATGAAATCAAATAGACCTACAAAAATCAAATTGCACGTGCTCGCTCGCTATCTGTTAATATTTATATTTATATTCATATCGGGTTATACGACCGTCTGCAGTCTTCGGAAGTAATTCTCGATGGTTGATTAGATGGCGTCAAGACTAAAATATAAACGAAATGCTAATACATATTATCGAGTCCATGCATTGTTGTATATTCATTTTAGACTTTTTGTAATTTGGATGTTTCAAATCAAATGTGAGAATTTGAGTCAAGTTGGTGATTATGAATTTAACAGCTATTGCCCCTTTAAAACGGAAGAACAGTAATAACATGTTTTACATGCATGTATTGCCTTATGCAAACTGAAAAAAAGTATGTTTTTTTTCAGGACATCTTAGAAAATGAGCTTATAAAACTAGACAAGATGTTTATAGCGTCTATGATAAAAGATATAATTCAGGTATATATTATTAATTTATAATAGGTAAAGATGTTCATAATTTGCTTATTGTTGAATGCCGTACGGTGAACTATGGTTACTAACTTCTACGTCATTTGGTCTCTGATGGAGAGTTGTCTCATTGACAATTATACCACATCTTCTTACATTTTCAAAACGTCTATTAACCATTAATGATCCTCATTAATGAATCCTTTTTGAACATCATTACGGTTGTTTCTAAATGAGAGCAATTCCATTCCCTTTACGGAGCACCTGAGTTCACTCACACCTTTATTGTGGCTTTACGGAGCACCTGAGTTCACTCACACCTTTATTGTGGCTTTATTCATATATTTGTGTGAAGTGTTTATTGGTCTGTTGTGTTTTGTTCTTTCTGTTTCTGTTAACCATGACGACGTCAGCATTTCTTTAAGTAACTGTTTTGTAGGATTCGTCTACTCCTTCAATAGTAATAATACTATGATTGCCTTTTTCATTTATAAAACTCGTTAGGAACGAACCAATTTTTGAAGTCTAATTTAAGTCTAATCAATTTCAATTTATGAAGTTATAAAGTAATTTATCCAAATTGTAAATTTGAAGTCATTGCTTTGAAAGTTTTACGGAAAACACCATAAATTGTTTGACCATATAGGAATATGTGTGTCAGAGATGACCTGAGGTATATTCCTCTTATAGCCTCGCACCTTACTATTTGACAGTTTTTTTTTATCATTGTCATACAATATCATGTCATATCGTCGCTGTTTGTGTTGAAGGGTTGCTGTTCAATAACGTATAGGTGTCTTCGTTTTTAAATAATATATGTTTTATTTAGATCTAAAATATTTTATTTCATAAAATCCCTGATTTATATCTTTTAGGGTATGATATTCCTCCATAACAGTGAATTGATGTTTCATGGAAATCTTAAATCTTCCAATTGTGTAGTAACGAGTCGATGGAATGTACAAGTAGCGGACTTTGGACTATTAGAATTCAGAAGGGCAACCTATAAAAAAGAAGATGAACATGCTTATAATCGAAGTATGTGAGCGTGTTTTGTTTTTGTTATTTTACAGTTTTTGAATTTTCCATTACTTCCCATAATTATGGTTTCGGGAGTACTCTTAGATGTTTATCACAGAACCACGTGTCTGTTTGCAGAACATAAGTGAATAAATGTAATGCTGAAGACAACATATTGAAAGGCATTACTATAATGTCTGTATTGTACTTTATATTTAACATTCAGTTATCTACAAAATGTTGTTTAAATGTTTTATCACCATGAAATATTTTTCATCAATTTAAAGTTATTACAGAATAGTTTAAAACACTACATGTGTGGACATCATACTGTTTGTTGGCCTTTAAGATTATTTATAGCAGACTATTGATAGTCATTATTAAATTAATTCACAGCGCTTAAATTAACTTGAAGAAATTTAGAACTGTCCATTGATGAAGATTTGCCTTGGAGTTCGGTATTTTTGTTATACATTATTTTAACAACAGAAACGTGATTTGTTTACATAAGAATGATAAGTGCCGCTCGAATCAGACAGTTGGAAGGATCAATCTTTTTTCGAAGGCAATGGCATATAGCTACATCCGTTTGACATTCCCATCTCCAATTCATGTCTTTTCAATTCGAACGGAAACAGTTATTTTTATCATTTTAATGATTTATTATCAATTCCCACCTGGTCCCTCTCAAAGATGTCGCGATACATAAGTTTTAACCCAGATCTGGTCATATGGAAGGAACACACAAAATCATGGCAAAAAAAAAACAAATAAAAAACGGCGAAAAAAAAATCCAAAAAAATAGTCCAGAAAACACAATATAGAAAAAAAACAACAGACCGAGCGACAAAATCCCACCAAGTACAGGGGTTCGATCTCAAGATCAATGAATGATTTTTTTCAATTTCTATTTTAGATTTGTTCTGGACAGCTCCTGAATTACTGAGAAATCCGAAAATTTTTGGTTCTCAAAAAGGAGATGTGTATTCATTTGGTTTAATTTTGTATGAGATATTTAGTCGTTTGGGTGTTTATTGTTACTGCAATATGGAACCAAAAGGTGAGTATCAAATAGACATAAGAAAATATGGTATGTATGGTTGCAAATGAAACAACTGTCCGCAAATGACCAAATGACAATTATGTAAATAACGACAGGTGCGCCCTTCGTCAATAAGCTAAACCGATACTATATAGTAAGGTATAAAAGGCTCCTGCATCAATGTTGATAACTGAAGGCTTAATCAAAGATAATACAATCAAAGAAAATGAAGAATAACACAAGTTCGTCATGCATGCAGTTGGAGTTATTCATATGTTATTAAAGTTTTGAACAGTCTTAAATTCCAGTTGTTACACGCTTCAAAACTACAAGTCATTGTGTCAATGACATAGTGTCTGTATATGACACGAAACGGGAAACATAATAACTTGTTGTTTGTAAAGTGCATTACAAACACGTGTATAAGTGGTGAGATAGTAAATAGCTAGTAAATATATTTTTGGGCAAAAGTTTGATGCGAGACAAATTTTGAAATAATCGTTTTAATTTATTTTATTCTTTTTTTAATAAACCACGTTACAATATAGCTCACGTCTTACTGAAATGTTTGATTACCTTGTTATCAAAATTTCAGATATAGTTTTAAATGTAAAAAGTCTTCAAAGAGTTGAACCATTCCGTCCAGATGCAAAATATTTGAATGCAGAAGATTATATTGTGAATTGCATGAAAGAATGTTGGGATGAAATACCTGAAAACCGACCAGACTTCAGAACCATTGCAAAAACATTACATGAAATGTGGCGAGGAATGTAAGTGCCCTTCTGTTTTGATTATCTTGGACATGTTTATGAAATTTTGAAATTGTTTTAAATGTTGTGATCTATATTTTCAAATATAATGATCAAGATAATCACTAGTTAAAGATTTTAAATTGATAGAGTTGTTCGACGAAGTCTTTAAGTCGTATCTTATTCATCTATGAAATATTAATTTAGACGTTAGTTTATTCTTCACATTTTATTTCATTCAGGAAACGCAACATATTCGATAACATGATGGCCATGATGGAAGCATATCAAAATAACCTTGAGAATCTTGTAGAGGAAAGAACCGAGCAGCTGGTCGAGGAAAAGAAAAAGACAGAAACTTTACTGCATCGTATGTTGCCGTCGTAAGTATATAGAAGAAGCAAATAAAACGAATCACGTATTACGAAACTTCAAGGAATATGGGCTTTTATGAATTTGGCTAGCCACAAAACCAGGTTCAACCCACCATTTTTTCCTTAAAATGTCCTGTACCAAGTCAGGAAAAAGGCCATTGTTATATTATAGTTCGTTTCTGTGTGTGTTACATTTTAATGTTGTGTTTCTGTTGTGTCGTAGTTCTCTTATATTTGATGTGTTTCCCTCAGTTTTAGTTTGTAACCCGGATTTGTTTTTTTCTCAATCGATTTATGAATTTCGAACAGCGGTATACTACTGTTGCTTTTATGAATCTTGTTGTTAGCATTTTATAGATCATATTTATATGTTGATACCACAATACGTATATTGTATGGAAATATAATGACCCCCTTCCAACTGAATTTTACAAATTGTTATGGTGTTGAGTACACCACTGTCCCAGATTTGGGGATGATTGATTGCTCAAAAAATGTTTTACATTTCCACATTTTGTATGCGTCTTTCCCTAGTCACGAGCCTGTAATTTAGTGGTTGTCATGTTTTGTTTTTTTGTTTTAAGCATAATTCAGGCCTTTGTTTTTTTTCTTATGAATTGTTTCAAATTTTGTCAAGCCTGTTGCTTTCATTGATTACTTTAGGCCTAGCTCATTATTAAAGGCCATATGCTGAATTACAGTTGTTCATATCCTCATTCTTTGGTCTCTGCTCGATAGTTGTCTTTTTGGCAAATCATATCACATTCATTTTTCCTAATTTTTATAGTTGTTCGGTATTGAACCCTTGGTCGAATGAAACATTCAATAAAAAGATAGGGATCAAACCCAAGAATGTTAGCATTACAGTCCTCTGCATAGATTATAATTTTGGAAGAAGAAAACCTTCGTATAAATAAACTCATCATAGGTTCCAGACTTAACGTTTTGTGCGTCAAGCGCCTTTTTTCCTGCAAAAGATTCATCAGTGATGCTCGAATAAAAAAAAGTTAAAAAGGCCAAATAAAGTATAAAATCAAAGAAAATTGAAAACCCAAAATATTCCGTAAGATTTTGATAGCTTCAGCTGACATTTTCTATTTCTGGGGAAGAAAATCCTTAGTATTTCGAAAAATTCAATGTTGTGTAAAGAGTTATACGAACACATTGACAACAATGCAAGAATATCATGTATATGGTATATCTTCTAAAATGTGTGTTATTTGTACTTTTCGTCCAAGAAATAAATTAGAGATAGCAAAGATCACCGCCATTATTATCTTAAATATTTGAATCTATTAATTCTGCTATGAATAAAACTTATGATAATCGCTCTAAGGAAACGTTTAAGACTTTTGGTTCGACCTTTATATTAAAAATTGTTATATTTTATTTTGTCCATGTTATTTTTGAATAAATAAATGTATCCCTATATACAGCCGTCGAAACTCATGTGTTTATTATGAAGAACACAGCTGTCGTTATACATCAAGTGTAACTGATGAAACATAGAAGCGAGAAGATATATTAACCGTTTCTATTCAAAGACGAAAGACACAAAAGGGACAATAAAAAAACCAAAAATCATAAGTTGACGAAATAAAAACAATAACATGACCTTAATGAAAAAAGACAACGAACAGTCTACAAACACTACAAAGAAACACAAAGACGAAGCAACATGTACCCCCAAAAACCGGGTGTGTTCTCATGTGCGCCGGAAGGGTAAGCAGATCTTGCTTCACTTGTTGCACTCATCGTGTTGCTTATGGCAAGTAAAAACTCGCATTCATTATTTTCTCCATCAAAGAAAAGATGACGGGAATGTCGCTAGGTCACTTTTGATGTCACTTATACAGACTAGGCAATACTTTAGGTTCTTTCGTTATATCAGCTTTTTCAAAATTTGTTTAAGGTTTTGAATTTGAAATGTCTTGGCATCGAGCATCACTGAAGAGACTTTAATTGTCTTAATGCGCTCCTGCTTCTGTAAAATTAATACTGTGAATGTTATTATATCTCTTTATGAATAAAAGTTTCTATCAAGAGATTTCATATATGCAGGTCCATAGCAGATCAGTTAAAAAAGGCAAAAGTGGTGCAGCCGGAGTCCTTTGAGTGTGTCACTATTTACTTTAGTGACATCTGTGGCTTTACAAAGTTGTCTGCAGAAAGTACACCATTGGAGGTATGTCAAATTGTCTGTTTTCAATAAATATTATAATTTTACTGTTCAATATAAAGAAAGAGAGCTTAGCCTGCATTAGAGTAATTTGTACAACGTTTGTATTAGGTTTGGATTTTGAACTATTTGGCTTCGAGAATCACTGAAGACACATCAAATTGCTGAAATGCGCCTCTAATGGAGTAAAATTGGATCCTGTAATCTTAATAACAGTGGAAATGGTATTTACTATGTATCTTTTTTCAATCAAACGAAAGTGTTATTGTAATGTTGAAATTAAAAATACAGAAATTCAAAGCTTATATATTTTTACTACTTAAACATTAAATCACACAGCAACTACACTAAGTGTTTGGGTCAACTAGGTCTTCTTGAATCATTGGATCATAAAAAAAACACCAATAAGTCTTAATCTGGTTCATTGATATTAGTTCTATCTCTAAGTAAAAACTAACACTGGTAAACAGTATTTAACAATGTGCCAATTGGTTGAAACAAATATTCTTTTATTTCCATGGCGTTTTATTGGATTATTTTTCAACTTAATCTTTAATATTTTATACGTTGGTAGTCATTTTGTTATAAAAATTCCTAAATAATATCATATATTACGATATTTCAGTTGATGTAATGTGTTATACTGATGAATAGAAACATATGTTGCAAAATATGATTATATTTCAGGTAGTGGATATGCTAAACGATTTATATACATGTTTTGACTCAATTATAAAGAATTATGATGTTTATAAAGTAGAGACAATCGGTGATGCGTATATGGTGGTCAGCGGTGTCCCAATACGTAACGGAGACAATCATGCAGGCGAAGTAGCATCGATGTCGCTAGAACTTTTACGAGCAATCAAAAAATTCAAAATACGACATCGTCCAGAGGAAACATTAAAGTTAAGAATTGGAATGCACTCAGGTACTGTATTCCTTATAAATATATTCAAAAATTAAAAACAGTTTGAAATAGACTGTAGTGCTATAGAGGAAAGACGCAATGTATATTTCACATTTATTGTAACTTTGACACTGTATGGAAACAAAGAGAAGTGGTATGATTGTCAATGAGGCAATTATCAACAGAAGGCTTAATGATGTGAACCGTTCCTTACTTTATTGTAAAACAAAACTACACACTACGAAATATATTTTCCTTATTATAAGTTTTTCCCGTATGACTTCCTTGTTACTGTTACAATGCTGTTCTCATCTTCACGTTTATAAACCTTTTAGGTCCATGTGTAGCAGGGGTTGTTGGTCTAACAATGCCAAGGTATACATTGTTTGGAGATACTGTAAATACAGCTTCCCGATTGGAGTCTACTGGTGAACGTAAGTATTCCCAACACTACAAGCTTCCCGATTGGAGTCTACTGTTAAACGTAAGTATTCCTCACACCACAAGCTTCCCGATTGGAGTCTACTGGTGAACGTAAGTATTCCTCACACCACAAGCTTCCCGATTGGAGTCTACTGGTGAACATAAGTATTCCTCATACCACAAGATTCATATATTACATATATCAATAATAAGGGTCTCTTATAAGATGAAAAAAGAGGCGGAAGAAACCGAAGATACAGAGGAGAAATTGAAAACACTCAAGACAAAAATGACAATGCCTTGGTAAACAACGAAAGACGACAAACAGTCAAATAAGTTAACAAAAACAACAACACTATAAAGCAAAATAACGACTGAACAATACAATTCCCCACCAAAAACTGGCGTGATAAGGGGTTTCATAGAAGGCAAGTATTTCATGTTATGTAATATATTTGTTTCTGTTTAATAACTAACTTCATACCGGTATGAATTTAAAGGAGATAAAATAAACATATTCCATTATTAAAATAGCAATGAGGTTTAGAATGCTATTGAATTTATAAGATTAATGCCTTTGTATGTAAAATCTTCTTGTGTACACGAATAACAATATAATAAATAATATAACTGGTCAATAACGGGAGCAGTGATTTACACTCAAATTATCATTCAATAACGTTATAGCATAGATTTCTTATTTGATACTGTATACACAATCTTTATGAACTATAAAATAGAGAAGGACATGTAATCGAGCTTTATCTAGATTTACCAAGCTTGCACCATATGAGAAAACATATACATGTACAACATATCGTTACAAATTGTGTACCCAAACCAGGAATTTAATATAAATTTGAAGTTATGATTCCGTGTTTTGCGCACTGTTCTAAACATCAATTTCTGCCTTTCCCTAATACAAGGAAAACCACAATGTGATTCAGTAATTATGTTGCCATCAAGGCAACTGCTTGTGGAGCATAATACTCTTGCCCTATCGTCGCTTCTGATCTGTGGCCGTATGGAGTTCATGCAAATGCCTTAGTTTTTTTTATCTTGATTTGTCTTTTAAAAAAGATTTACTAGTTTAGACATCTGTACACGTTTTTGTTTCTCATAGTGCTCTGATTTATGGGACTTTTTTATATTCCTCAAATTGGGAAGAACGAACAAGACAATCGTTGATTGAAATTTTTACATTGAACATTAACATTTCTTCTTCAGCCTTACAGATCCATTGTAGCGATTCATGTAGGCAGCTTCTTGATAAATTGGGTGGATATACAATTACAGAGAGAGGTTTGGTCAGCATGAAGGTAAGTGTTGAATAAATTTATAAAGTGTTTTAACCAACACGCGACCACTTGGTTCTTTGTCTTCTTTGAAGGGAGAGACCATATTGTATGCCCAGTACAAAAGTTGAGAAACTTTGCAGGAAATATTACTCAGATTAATTGTTATAACTTTTTCTATTTTTCTAACGTATTTTCCTTACATCAACCTGTGATGTATTTTTACCATCCGAATAACCACATACTTACATGCTACCCTCTGCTATACCAAATGTCGATATACAACTCTCTTTGTATTCGGTATAATATAAACAATACCTCATATATTTTGTTGAAGCCCGTACGGTGACTTGTAGTGTTTAGTATCTTTTTCCTTGGGTCTTTCTGTGGATTGTTGTCCAATTGGCAATCATACCTTATTTATATTTATAAACATTGACTTAGTCTCGGGTTGTATCTTCCCTCGTGTAGTAATCTACTTTACAATTCTTCACTAAATTCCGTTGATATGACTCTTGATAGGATGAGTCAGTTGGCCATGCAGAGTATAATTGGAGTGCTTTGAAACCTTTTTGCAGCTATCACTCGCATCCATTACAGTCAAACCTCGTTGTGTCGAACTCGGATGAGTCGAACCTCGGATAAGTCGATTACATTCGTCCGACCCCTTCGACTTCGACTTATCGAGGTTCGACTGAATTACATTTAATATTTTACATATTAATATATGTTTAACTGTATATATTAGTTGAGTTAGAGATAACCAGTTGTTCTCATAACGTACATTTAAAAAATTCTCCCTTCAAAAACAAAATATACTGACCCTAATTTCTTTAAGAATATACCCTGGGTTTATTGTATGTGTTATTTATAATGCAGGATTTGGATTCACACATTTAGGGTTACCTTTTACACAATTGCAGTAACGGAACATAAGATGACATTAATACATATATGCAACTCTACTTGTGACCTCATGCTTTTTTTGTAGTTACCTTAGGTACAACATAACAACGAACCCTTCACCTTGAAAAATGTACATTTTTGTCATGTTTATAAAATTGAGAATGGAAACGGGGAATGCGTCAAAGAGACAACAACCCGACCAAAGAGAAAAAAACAGCCCAAGGCCACCAATGGGTCTTCAATACAGCGAGAAAATACCGTACCCGGAGGCTGGCTTCAGCTGGCCCCCAAACAATAATGTATACTATTTCAGCTATTGGACGTCACACTAAACTCCGAAACATATAAATGTACACGAATTAAAAAAAAACTAACATACAAAGTCAAATCCAATATATATATATATATCCATATATATCTTTTTTAAATATTTGTTATCAATTTATAATGAAGTATCTTTCATATTTTATAAATAATTTATTATCGGTCAAATTGGATTTGTCTGACTGCTATACACAAAACAAATGTTAGAACTGTAGAAATGTCATATTGTTATCTCATAAGTGTAAAAGGCGATTAAAGGGTTTTGCTATGTTTTTATGAAGTACGTGACTTATGATATTTCGTTGTTTACTCTTAGGGGAAAGGAGAATTATTCACTTATTGGCTAAATGCAGAAGATGAGAAAATACGACATGAACGATTGCGACGTACAAGTCAGACATTGAAGTTCAATTCACCCTTAGCAAGAGAAATAAGGAATGCCTATATACCACATTCTGGTCAGAATTTCCGTTCTCTTGAAGATAGTTTAAACGAAAACTACAGTGATAAAGACACACATTCCGATCACAACCAGCCAACTCCCCTTATGGACATTTTATGTGAAAGTGAAAGGATTAATTCTTCAGTTCCTCTACAAAAAATTCCACAAGAGCCTAAAGACTCTCCTACAACAAGTTCCATGAAAGCAAGAAAAATATTTCAATCAAAACTATTCAATGGTGTGATTCCTGACGATAAAAAGTTTCGGCTACTTAAAGGTAGTTCTGGTTCAGATATTACAACAGAAAGATATGCTCTGATGAGTGATTTCCGCGACGACGACAGTGATAGTGACCATGTGTCAACTAGGCATCATTCCTTAGGAACAAGAAATAACATACGACAGCCGCCAAGCTGTGCAATGTGTACGCTTCCAAAGTCTGTAAATCAAGACAAAGACACAAATGTTTATGTACCAGACAGACAAGACATTGAGTCAAGAAATTATTACAACAGTTTTGGACAAAATGATAATTTGATTGACCCAGAAACAATATTGTAGCATTTGGATCATTGAAGAATTACAGATAAAATTACACGAAAATTGTAATTGATTATACCTTTTGTTAAAAAAAATATTTGAGGGTTTATACAATGATTGTTTAAGTGTATAATACAGGGGCAACTATCACTTGCATACCAGCACCAGGATATGATAATATGTTAACGTGATTTGAATATGAAGCCCGTTTTATACTAAACCGACAAATCGAGTCGGAATTTTTAAGTGCTAGTTCATAGATAAAGGTTAGCAGATAAAAGACATGCCACCCTACTCGGACACATAATTCTGCCTCCAAAGCGCCGATTGTTTAGGATACTCCTATATTATACTAGGGTGACATTACCCTTTAACACATCTATCTGCACGTAAAATGATACCCTCAAGTATTAACCAATACAAAACTGTCGAACTATTAATAATTCAGAAGACATAGTAACAAAATGTTCAGTATGATAATTAAATAAGGGTGATAAGGCAGATTGTAACTCCTCGTAATAATGTCGGGTTTGGTACGTTATTTTCCGTGAAAACTATATGCTAAATCAACATCGCAGCTATTTATTATTATTTAGGAACACACCATTACAAATGTAACTGTAAATTTCATTTTTTCCACTTTATTTTTGATATTCAAGCTTCGTTTTCGTTTGTTACCTTGATTTGTCCTAATCGATTTATGAGATTTGAACATCGGCACCGCTGTGGCCTATATTTAAGGTTGGTAATTGATTGTTGAAGATCAGATAATCATGTATCATTAAACCATTGTTTTGAAGTTTCAAATTCAACATCGCCATGATGAATTTATTATCAACAATGCATTTAACGTCGGATTCTAGTTTTATCTAGAAATAAGATTTTTGTGATGAATCATGTATGTTTGATTTCAATCGTGTTATATGGGTGTCTTCTTAGACTGAATCTTAGTTCAGAAAATAGTTAATTTTACGATGATGTTTAGTCAAATTCTAGGGATTAAACGATTTTCATTAGAATAAGGTATACTAGGATTAAACACGTACTCGACATATTAATAACATAGGTAACGAAAGTAGTTTTTGGCAACATGGTCTATCAGAATGTGAACTAACCAAGGGAAAAAAGTAATTTTAACAGATCAATCGCATTCAAGTATTTGAAGATATGCAGGAGATGTAAGAAATATTTATCAATAATTTTTCCTGCATGCATTGGTTTTGCAATAGAACAAATAAACCCGGTGATATACTGTTAAATATGCACTTTGTATGTAATACCAACACTGGACTAAACTGTTGAAAAACGTATTTTAAATTTCACAGTGAACTTTTTTTTTAAATTTTGTTGATTTAGTTGTTATGTAGTTTTATCTACATTTTTATTGATAAAAGGCAAGGTACAATTTATTAAAAAGAATATGTTGTACTATAAAATATCATTTTGCAATTTAAATTGTGTGTAATGTCAACAATGTCAATAAAAAATTAGTGGAGTCAAGATTTCAAAAGTCGTATTTTATCCAAGCATTATCATTTTATCAAGATTTTTTCTCTTCCATTACTTTTTTCGTTTATTAATAACTGATTTGTAAAGTTTTCTGGTTTATTTAATTTAGTTCCATCTGCAAAATGATCAACATCTAAATTTTTATCGATAATTTCACAGGTCAATATATAAGTGTAAGATATATATAATGCTCGACATTGACAATATTTATTTGATAGCATTTTAACTGACATTTTTATTGCGCTTTCCGCTAATGAATTTGAATTTTGTAATTGACACATTAGTGTTACTCTTTAAATGACACTATACCTCTTTTGTAACTAATTAACTTACAATAAACTGACTTTGAATATTGATTTACATAGTTATTGCAATAATAAGAGATATGATAAAATATTGAGTTAAGAAATTCACCAATAAATGTGTGAAATGATGCAAATAATATAAGTCCGAAAAACATTAAAAAATGAATTAACCTTAAGTGCCACATATATACCACATATATAATTATTACCGTTTCCCTTTTTCCTTTGTTTTTGTTTATCATTAAGGTTTTGAAGTTTTTGAGAAACGCACTTTCCATACATAAAGATAAAAAACGTAGAGAATACAGTAATGAGACAATAATGCAAGAAAACAAAACATAAAGAAAAAACATATTTTATGAAATTTAATACATATATCAATTGACTCGTAGATTGCATTTACCGTGTTGAAATAAATTGTGTTGTCATTATGAATAAAAGGCGATGCGATGTTGGGTATACGTTAATGAAAAAAAAAATAACGCAACAAAAAAAATTCAAGAACAAACAAAAAGTTCTTACAATATTATACCGTATCAAACAATGCTCACACTTACAACAAAGCATGCTCAAAGTACTTTACGTGTTGATATGAGATCATGTCATCCTACCCTCAAAGATGCATTCAAAGAAGTTTGTATATCTTTTTATTATTTGTTGCAAAAAACAAATCAATTTGGAGAATAATTTAACAAAAACCCCGTTTTCCGCTTTAACAAGAGTAACCGTAGTATCAAACGTACTAATCTTGAATCTACACAGCTTGTCTCTTCTCTTGATACGTGTACCAGGGGTGTGAATAAATCAACCATTCCCATCAATGTACAGTATTTAAAATTTCTATGCAACCCACTTTTGGAAGCAGGTATAAAAATACTAACCTACTAATAAAACCTAATCGATAAAATATAATCAGACACCAAATCAACAATAAACGTAGTATTAATCAGTAACCAAATATTGTTGTTCACATAAAAGAATGATCTATTACACGACACATCAACAATTCGTCATGTGATTGCGTTTATAAATAATAAGTAGAGGTGAAAGTATTTACGTAACCAACACTAGTTTAAATGTCTTCATAGCTACACTCGTATCTATTCGCAGACAAATGTTTCAGATGTTATCGCGATAATCTTATAATGAAAAAAAATTGAATTGTCTTTCTTTAAACACAATATGCTTTTTGATGTAAACTACACTATGCACTTTCAATAATTTAATTAAATTAACTCTCAATATTTAAAAAAAAATTTTTGAACAAACCTCTGTTGAGAAATAGTTCGAGAAAAAAACCCAGTAGTGTTGCTTAAAAACACCGAACCTACATTGAAAGCCAAGTTAATCATATTTCACTTTCATTGAGAACTTTATGTTAAATCCTGTTGCATTATACTTCCATTAGGTAATTGATATTAAGCCTTGTTACATTGTATATTTCATTCATGTCAATATGTAAATAGTATTATTAATTGATTAGTTATTTGTAGATATACATATTATTTATATTCCTGAGAAATCTGTGATAATTTCCGACTTCACTGTATATACTACTATCATTCAAAAATGACTTCAATATGTTGAATAATAACACGAGAATCAAAATTGAATAATAAAAGTGTAATATTATTTGTAGCAGTTATTTTCTTGTTTCATTCAATCAGTTACAAAACTGCAAAAAATATCAATTTGTTCAAACAATTTAAACAACATTTAATGAACAGCGCTTTTTCTGGATTAATCTTCACCAGGAACGCTCAAAACCGAATATTTGAAAGCTAAGGATGTATAAGAAACGAAACAGTTGCGAGCTATATAACCAAAATAGCCAAATCCATTTAAGGTAAAATTTTCCTGAGGGAATTAAAGCCTTAGTTTGTGAATAATTCATAAATCTATAAACGGACAATTTAAGAATGGTTTGTTATAAATCAAGTACAACTGAGCTGATGGTTTCTTTCTGGGACTGATAGTCCACCAGCAGCGGTATCGACCTAGTGCTGTAAACAATGAAAACAATACTTTACAAATTTTATGCGTTTGAAGCGCTTTTCTGGATTAACCTTCATCAGGAACGTTCAACGACGAATGTTGGAAGCCAAGAATGCGTACGAACCAAAACAGTTGAAGAGATAAATGACCAAAACGAATATAGAAAATACCCTTCGCCCCCAGTTCCGCCTGAAGTCGTGATTGCAACCGCCATTCTCTGATAGCCCGTATGACCTTCCATACGTATTAAGAACTGCCCCAGCTGAACTGTGTTGACAGTAGGGAGTTCAATCATGCAATTCATGGTCCATAAACTCTTTCCAAATGTGTTCTTGTGAAAATATGATAACCTGCATGCCCTTCTTAGAGTTCAAAATCGGAAAAATCTGAAAAGTAGCCAAAGTCAAGTAGGGGTGGGAGTCATTTGATGGCCAATACGTTAATGATATGGGTCGTATGTATTAACTATTATCCTAAATGCATGCATAGGTGGTTCAGAAACACAAGAAGATATTATATGGCAAAACAATCTGGCCTGTAAAAACTAGGTCACTGTTTTGTCACAAATCTGTAAAAACGGACATTTAGGCTGACCTGGCTTACCAATAAAAGAGGGACGAAAGATACCAGAGGGACAGTCAAACTCATAGATCGAAAACAAACTGACAACGCCATGGCCAAAAATAAAAAGACAAACAGACAAATAATAGTACAGATGACACAACATAGAAAACCAAAGACGAAGCAACACGAACCCCACCAAAAATTGGGGGTGATCTCAGGTGCTCCGGAAGGGTAAGCAGATCCTGCTCCACATGTGGCACCCGTCGTGTTGCTTATGTTATTAAAAATCCGGTAAATAGCTTAATTCGGTAAGTCACATTCGTGAAAAGTTAGGGTATTGTAGTTACGACATAAGGAACATATCCGATATCATCTGTCAAACGGTTATTCCATAACGGTCAACCAACTCGTGAACTTGGGAAGCTGAAATCATCTCTTTTGTCGTAAAGTTTTGTTTTCAACCGACCCTCATTGTCAATTTCTAGATGTAAGTCAAGATATGAGGCAGACTTAACTGTATCTGTAGTATCCTTTATCTCTAGTTCGATGGGATAAATTCGTTCAACATAGTCACCACATGTTCAATAATAATCCCGCATCAAGACACTCAAGTCACATTTACTTCCATTTAGTATAGATGGACTGCTGTTACTACAAGGTAATAATTGAATAACAAAGAAACTCAATTTGGTTCACCTCTCAAGGTCGTATTAAAATTAAAAAAAATAGACTGAAAATTACCATTTTTCAGCTGGGATGGGTCCAAAAATCTCTTTGGGTCGAATCACCAGTAGAGGTATCGACCCAGTGGTTGTAAATAAATTCATTATAGATACTAGGATTGAAATTTTGAAAGGTTTGTTATAAGTTATGTCAGAAACCAAAGTACTGACTACTGAGCTGATGATACCCTCTGGTACTGAAAGTCCATCAGCGGCGATATCGACCGAGTGCGATGTGCATGTTGATGTGGTTCATTAGTGTTTCTCGTTTCTCGTTTTTTATATAGATTAGACCGTTGGTTTTCCCGTTTGAATGGTTTTACACTAGTAATTTTTGAGGCCGTTTATAGTTTGCTGTTCGGTGTGAGCCAAGGCTCCGTGTTAAAGACCATACTTTGAACTATAATGGTTTACTTTTATAAATTTTGACTTGGATGGAGAGTTGTCTCATTGGCACTCATACCACATCATTTTATATTTATAGACGTAAATTATTTTTTCCAAGTTATTTCATTATGATAAAGAAGAGTAAACTCACTTTTTATTACTGTAAATCTTCTCTCTATCGCTGGTAGTCAGGGATTACTCTAAGCAGCTCACAGTCTTTCTTGTCTATAGAAGGTAGAGCCTCTAGATTACCTCTATCACAACTAGTCTTTTGCCTACAGAAGGTTGAGCCTTCAAATTACCAATCAGAGCATGTAAAGCATCATTTTGCATGCAATATTTGTGAAGATGGCGGGTTATGTCCTCAGGGAGTTAACTTTTGTAGGATAAGTATTGGATGAAATCCTAGAGTATTGTTTGGTTCATTATACTAAACGACGCTTTAGTCTTACACAACACGTTTAAAACCCTCCATATGGTCAACAATAGGTTTGTAGCAACAACACACATTATGGGGTTTGCTCTAAACATTGCGGGTTTCTACCATTTTTTTGTGAAAAAATAATCAGAGTGTAATTATATGACAATTACCAGAAAACTACATCTACTGTTTCAATATGTAGATCATGACGTAAAAATATTAAGTAACAGTTCTACTATGACATTAGGTTTAGAAAGTTGGAATGAAATCCAGTCATTGGTTTAAGAGAAGTAACTGTTGTTGACGAACACACACATCAATTAAAGAACGAATATACGACGGAACGGCTTCAGTAAGTGTCGTAGATGACGAAAGTAGAAATATCTTAACTAGACAGAACAAAAACAAGTAAGTTATAATGATTCCTTGTTGTCAACGATGACCTTACTCTAACAACATACAGGAAAGAAGAGAAGACATATCTAGTCTAATGCTAGTGTAAATAATAAAGCTTTCTAAAAAGTGCTATTTATATTGAAAATTTTTGTCCGATAGGGTTATATTAAGTCCATAAGGCAACATTGCAACTTGATAATGTTAAGAAAAGACATCCGTCTATTACTGCTTCTTAGAAAAATCTGTTTGTAAAATTTGTATTAATACATATCTTTTAACCATAGCCATTTTGAAGCATGAACTACAAATAAATGAAATACTAAGAAATAAGTTGAATTCTTTTTTAAATGATTTACTAAAAACAAATAACAATTTGTACATATCTGTAATTACAATAAATAAATAACAATGTGTACATAAATGTTTTTTATCACAGAGAACAATGAAAGACACAATGGTGACAAGGAAACTTGTAACCGAATAATGTTCATCTAACATGTGTTATTTCGGAAAGAAGGTAGACTATAAATAATATATTTATTTATGAAAGGAAGTAGTTTAACTTTGCCCCTTGTAATATTTTAACGCCGCCCATTGTTATGTGCCTGTCATTGTCTACATTTTATGTTAGTTCATTTCACTTATTTTAGCCTAAAGGGAATTTTTTATGCTGGCCGATCATTGATAGTCTATATCAAATTTATGAACATTAAAAGTATAAAAGAGTTACCGCTATGCTGGATATCATATAATCGGTAAACATGTGTATTACAAAGTGAAAAGGAGAAGGTATGATGGGACCATGTTCGGGTTTGAATTTGAATATACAAAGTATCATAAATCCAATATGTACCCTTCAGAATATACAAAGTATTACAAACCCATAATATACCATACCACAAGACATAACCATGTAATATTTCTATTAAATTTTTGTTCCTTTCGTATTTGTGGTTTTTTCCCCGTTATTTGGTTGTAAAAAAATAAACTGAAAATACTAACTTATTCAGCTTCTTTCTTCTTTGACGATTTTAATATTTAATTGCCTCTCACAAATGCTACCGATTTCATTTAAATTTCATGATAGGACTTCATAAAACTTTTTTGAAGTGTTGTTTCTGATTTGTTTTTATTGAACTGCAGTATTCAATCAACACATATGGCTATCTTCGCTACTTTTTTGCAGTTTTTAAATATGTGACATCTTTTATTTCCTTGTTCAAGTTGCTGGTCAAGGAGTGAAGGGAAGTGTGGTGTGTGTATAATTCATTTTTTTTTCCATAGTTTCTGCTATCTTTTTCATAAAATATTACAATATTGCCAATTAAGCACCATTTTTTTTTATCATGTCATTAATATTTAGATAAGGACATCAATCGTAACCCGAATAACCATATTTTGTTAAAAGCTGTCTTTCACAAAGGAATATGCCGTGTAAGGAGGCAGTTAATTAAATTTTACTTCGCCAAAACTAACTTTATAACGACTCGTGTAAGTCAAATATGTCACTGTTGACATGTATATGAAGTCACAGTGATATTTCCAATATTATTTATGCATGAAAGTAACCAGAATGTAAACCAAAATCGTTTTGTCAATAATGATAAATATCATACATAGTACCTAAATATCTCATACTTATTCATTGAACATCCGCCGATCCATATATAGTAAATTCAACTGACCAGGACTGCGAGCCGATGATATTGTACTGTGACGTCATGACCTTGATGAATATCAACAACGAGCTTTTTTTTTAAAATTGGTTTAGAAGTAAAACATATTTTCAGGAAAGAGTGAGCGTGGTGTTGAGGTGTTTGTGTGCATTTGAATTAATAAAACGCTGAAACCTTATTATGATTCAAATCATTTCTTAATCATGGAACAAATGAGACCTTCTTATTTTGGTTCAATACTTACAAAGTAATGTTAAATATAACAAATAATCCATGACACTTCAGAACAAACGTCGGTTTACGGAGCGTTTGGTCATCACATACAAATTTAGATCACAGCTTTGAGTCGGTCCATTTACTTTTTGTAGATGATGGTCCGGTCTATAAAGTGTAATTTGACCCCAAGTGCAATTTATTATTTCTTAAATATAATTTTGAAAGGATTGAACATTTGTAAAGACCAAGTATGAATTCTGATCATACCTTTTCCTTTGATCTATGTAGGAAATAAATTCATCATCATTATCGTTTGAGTGGAGGCCTTTAGATTTAAGTTATCTTATCTTTTGTTTATACATTTTTTTTTCATAAATGCCACAACAATTTATCAGAATTTGGTATGAATTAAACTACATATTGGTAAAGTATAAAAATATTTTATCATTTTTGTTAATATTCCCATACTACCGACGGTTTAGCTTGACTCAGATATTTCTCCGTCGTTTTTGGCAGCGACTTCTGTTAAGAAATGAAATGCATTATCTAAAGAATCCATAACAAAATTAATGCATAAGTGTTCATTTAACATTTTCATCAAAACGATGAAATAAGAAAGAATGTGTAGGACTTCACGTTTAAAACATATATTTAACCAAATGACTATGCTAACTTAGTTAATAAGGAATCGAAGATTCGATTGAATCAATTGAAATAATCAAATGACGTTAATAATATTTTGATACCCGAGATTTTTTAGATACAGTTCATGGTTTGCATGCATATCATTCTTACAAATGTTTAATATAGTACAAAGTATAAAAAGAAAACATCAGCTCCAAACCACGTTTTTGCAAATGATTGTCATGGCAATGGTTAATTGGAGATAAAAACATGTCACAGATACTATTACATATACATTTATAATACATCTTCTACATCTGGTCCTATATAACCACCATTATTTGATTGCCACTTAACATTCATTAATGGCATTGTTTCCTGAACGGGTGTAGATGGTGGACGGAGTGTAAAAGTTGGTGGTTTACATGAAGTGTCACATGGTGAGCATGGCACAGAGTTTACTAAATTGCCATTTTGTTCCTTAGTGTCTATAAAATGTTTCAGATCGTGAGCATTTGTAGGGTCAATATGTTTTACGAATCCGTTACAATGTTTATAGTTTGTTCCATTCACAAGATAATTGTCAAAATAATTTGGAAAGGTAGCATGATCTATCTCTAGGTTTGATCGTCTATCATGATATGAATACACAGACATCATTGTAATTCGCTTTCTCCTGATTATTGCGTCTTCAGATTCCAGAAAATATGTAAATTTTTCACCTTTTCCCTGCAATTAAAAATCGAAAGTATTTTCAAGTACGGTATTCTATGAAAGGTATCCTAGTTTATTTCAAAAGATTTTTTACTAAATGCATTGAAATAGTTTGATAGGCTTGTAGTTTGTTTCTAACTGAATAAGATTTCTTAAACTGATAACTCTAGCAGATACATGTTTAGTTTCAGTCTTTCAGTAAATCACAAATATATAGTTTATATCCAAGACCTTTCGTTTTATAGCATGATTTCTTGACTAATTGTTGTTTCTAACTAGCCAGGAAGTTATTGAACCAAAGGTCACGATTGGTATAGGTGATGACTTTGTCATCCCTTCATGATTTGGTTGACTGTTTTGTGGCATTTGACCATGGATATGTTCCAGTAGCCGTACCCCCAATATCGACCTCTTTTCCTAGATTGTGACATCATCGAATGGGACTTAACACTAAATGTGTAACATAAGCAGCAAAAGGGATGCCACACGAGTTCAAAGATCTGCTTACCATTTTAGAGAACAAGCAATCACCCCTGGATTTTAAGTGATGTTCATTTTGTTCAATCTTTAGTATTGTTTTAAATTGCATCATATCCCTTGGTTATGTCAGATGAAGAACACATTAAGACACACCATAATTATAGATAATTTAAATGTCTGTTATGCTGCATCTTTTTTTTCTTTTGTCAGTGACACTGGTTTTGATCCTCTGATAATTCGTGATACATGGATTCGGCTTAGTACATGTATCTCCCATATATATGGTGAATGTCTTTACATGCATGCATTCATAGTAGTTACCTTCATATTTACATATCCTCTTTCAGACAAATGGTATCCATCAAGAATGTCCAAAATGTCTTTACACTCTTTACTACAGTGAATTTTGAGAGCTGGAATAAATATTATGTTATCATTAAAAAGAAAATATATCAGTCTTATACGGAAAAAATTCGGTAACCACGAAAAATATACATTTGCTGATGAAAAAGGGAGGCGAAAGGATCGTCAATGATACTGAGTCGCCCATACAAAGCTTATATAACAAGTTACAGAATATGAAAATGACACTTAGTAAATGTAGTGCGTCCAAAGCGCTTTTTTAAATTCATTTTCACGGAAAACGCTCACACCCCAAAAACATTTTAAGACAATGATGAGTAAATAGATATTTAAACATAGGAACTAGGAAAATTTAAATTTAATTTGCTCCTAGAGATCAGGCTTTTGTCATTTTAAATATTAAATACTTCCAGTCCAACGTATATCAGTAGAGGGCGAGATACTGCAGAACCTTCTACATAAGAAAATGCCTGTACCAAGTCAGGAATATGACAGTTGTTATCCATTCGTTTGATGTGTTTGAGTTTTTGAATTTGCCATTTGATTGCGGCCTTTTTTTTTTAATTTTCCTCGGAGTTCAGTGTTTTTGTGATTTTACTTTTTTCCGAAGAAACTAAACTCAGCAATGAGTTTATAAGTTAGTGTTGCACAATCTTATTTTGCTTTGCGATTTGTTATGGACTAATGTTGGTATTGCATTCTTTTTGCCATAGTGTTTTATCGATTTCTTTGACTAATGGATTTTTATTACCACGTTTTATTTCATCCTTCTTTAAAGTAAGTTTAGACTGACGTTCTCAAAGCACTGTCATTTAAAATTCAAAAGTAAAGGAATCCATATTTTGCTAAATAAAATATTTATTAACATACCAGGAGAAACGAAAGTACACAACTATACTTATGAATACTTTGATGAAGCAAAAAGTGGCAAAAACGGGTGTTTCAAAGCTTTATTTAATGTAGCATTTTGGCTTTCTTATGTTTATCCTTGTAAAAAAGTTTCTTTCTTCTATCCTTAAGGTACAATACTGAATACTAGCCATTAAAACTGAATAGTTGAAAATATAACGCAGCTAATCTCCCTCTATTTGAAGTTCATTCGATCCCTATAGTTTTCACTCCTTATGCTCGCCTTTATTATACTATGAGATATAAAATTATTACAATGTTGTTTTTTCTATAAAAAGAAGGATAACTCTAATGCTTAAAATGTACTATGCAATAGTCTTTGGACTGTCACTATGAATAAAAAAAAATATATAGGGTCAACGTCAAACCGACGGTCACTCAAAAACACCAAAACGGCATCTAAGGGTCAGTATACGACCTTTGATAATATAAATTGTTCTTAATATGTGTTAAGTTCTAAGTCGCCCAAAAGAGACAAATAGTTCAGGAATTTTACAGAAACTATCACAAATACTTTTCTTTTTAAATCAGTTACAACAACAGTTAAAGTTTAGACTTACGAATTCCAGTGGTTTCCATTCTTGATGCTGTATTTATAGTGTCACCGAACAAAGTATATCGCGGCATTTTCAAGCCAACAACTCCAGCTACACAGGGTCCTACAAATAAATTATATGATATAGAAGGTAAAGAGATGTGGTATGATTCCCAGTGAGCTATTTATTCTTTAAAGACATACGGACAAAGATGTGAACAATTACAGATCATCGTCCTACAATTAGTTAACCCACTCATTATAGTAAGCTTAAAAGAAAAGGCTCCGGCTAACAAAGGGTGAAAAATACAAGAGAGAAAATAAAAGGCCTGACTCATTCTACAACAATAAAAAAGGACGATATTTGTAGTCAGTAGTTAACGAAACCACTGGATTATAGGCTTGGGACAGGCAAATAAAGAATGATTCTTAGTGCATTTTATGTATAATATTTGTATGTTAAGTAAATTTTTCTTGACAAAAAACATATCATAGATACACTTAGAGAAGATGGTGTGCAAATATTGGTAATTTGGCTGAGATAAAAAGAACTATAATGAAAATGGCCGCCAAAAAGACATGTGTAACTCTAATTGTTGGATTGTGAAACTGCGTAAAATAGAATCATCTCTACAAAGTAACCCTTTCACATGTATTTTTATTCATATGTAAGAAGAGGTGGGTAAATAATCAAAAAGACAAATTTTGATTTGCTGTCAATGGTATTTACAAAATTTAAAAAAGCTACAGTTGAAGTGTAAAAGATACGGAGAAGGCTCATGTGAATTTTGACGTTGGTGAGTCAGGAACATACGAAAAAATGGATCGATTGTAAATTTACTTTTTTTTTATTTTAAAAAGGCAATTCTATTGACATATCGTCGAGTCGAACGTTTGCTCCGTTATTAATTTTTACCAGAAACCTCCTTTTATTTGTACCTTTTTCATATCAAATCATTCAAAAAGTTCGTTGAAATATTAAAGAGTGAAGATTGATAGGTATTTGTGGATGATACCATTTTTCTCTTTACCTGAGTGTATTCCTATGCGAAGTTTGAGTGTGTCGTCTGGTCTATGCTTAATCCTAAATGATTTGATGGCTGACAGAAGATGGAGCGACATTGAAGCTATTTCACCCGCATGGTTGTTACCGTTACGGATTGGCAGTCCACTGACTACCATATATGCATCACCTATTGTCTCTACCTTGTATACGTCATAATGACCAATAATGGAATCAAAACACGTGTATAAATCATTCAACATATCTATTACCTGCAATTATACGTTCAATTTAACATCAAATTTGCATAGCTAAAGTACAGTATTAGGTTACAGTTTCAAAACTACGTTCAAACTTTTTCGAGTTTCAATTTATTCGATATCTTTACAATTTCGGATGTTTTAATTCGCGATGTACAATTTTGTATGGCCTATTTAATTTCAACATGACATTTAAAAAATACAATCCGATTTCTGATTTTCAATTTAAACCATTAAAACATTTTTACACCCTCTACGTTTGAAAAACTGACCAAGAAGTGCACAACACGAGTTTCACTCTCTATCTAAAAGGAAATTTAAACAGTCGAAGAGTCAACATAAAATCATAAGTTAAAGCCAAAAATATACCGTGTGTATGTACCTATTGATGTATTGTCGGGTTTTTGTGCTTGTTAATTGCATTGTTGCCGCACTGACGTTCACCTAATATGTCGTTTCCTTCTTGCCTTAAACAGTTTGTCACCCTTTATTGTGTTTTCACAGCGTATGAGGCAAAGAGGTTTACAAATTTAAAACAAAAAGACACCAGAACTTAGAGTGGATAAATGTACTTGAGACAAACGAAAAACTTATATTTATACTCAATATAGAACTCCTGATGGCTGAAGCTTATTTCTTCATGTTCAAATCCTATTACATAACGAAACGCTGATAATAAAACGACACAGTTTCAACACTTTATCAACATTACCTGCATAGGAGTACTTTCAGCAGATAACGATGTAAACCCTACAATATCACTAAAGTAAACTGAAGCACATTCGTAATGTTCAGGTTCTACCATTTCACCGTTCCTTAGCTGGTTAGCAACAGATCTGTAACATGAACATCACTTAGAAATACAAGTAAATCAAATTCAAATCAATGCTTATACATAAGATAGTTAATATCGATTAGGTATCTTAAACGGGGCTTTGTTAAGTTAACGAATTCAAATCGTAAAAGATCGTGCATGCCCTTTTTACGTAGTAAACATATGAATTTTGAGTAAAAGGAAATTTGAAGACTATAATCTGAAAAGTATAAAGGTGTATTACCACCATTTATAAAATGAAGCCGTTTAAACACTCGTTGTTTGGAATCTTACCGGAACACATGAGGTCCCCTTGGTTTGTTGAATGGGATCTCAGGTTTAAACATATTAAGCAGACATCTTTCCTTTAGTCAATCAATTCTTTTGTTTCTACGGCAAGTTAATCTTAATAAAATGTAATCGTTGTCGTCATTTAACTTTGATATGTATCTTCCTGCCGCAATCCACATTTTATTCTTTAAACGACCATTATGATCTATTTTATGTAAAGTCGCTTCTGTAATGCGATACTTTTAACATAATATTTCTTTAATCTACTGATATGTATCTGTCTAAACAATTTGTTTATCTCTCTACTGTCTCACAATTACTTACCGTGGTAACATACGAAACAACAAATTCTCTGTCATTTTCTTTTCTTCTGACAACTGTTGTGTCCGTTGAGCTACGACTTCTTCAAGGTTATTAGCATATTTTTCCATGATTGCCAACATATTGTCAAATATATTTGCTTTTCTACATGAAAATAAAGCATGATGGTAATTGAAGCGTTTTGTTCCCATTAAAGTTTACATTAACTAAATCGAATTGTACTAGAAATAAAGATACAAGTTCGTAAAGTGGTTTGTTGGCCTTGAGTCTTACAAATTACCAATTCAGTATACTAGGATAGTCTTGAAAATATCATTATAGTTGTTATCAAATCTATGACAATACAGTCGAATAATATACATATCATCGATTAAACTTCTATTGTGATTCATTGAAAATGGAGTAGACGCCGATACTTAATGTACAATAACTATATTTAGTGTGCACGAAACTGTTTTGCACAAAACCAATCATTTTATATCCAATTAATAATGACGAAGTAAAAAATTTAGTTACGTGTACAACTTTAGAAGGAGATACAGTTTCATGACAACAACAAAAAAGACAATAGGACGGCAATCAATCTTATATCACTACACAGAAAAATTGATCTACACGAACCCCAGAGATAATGGGAGAACTGATATGCTTCGAAAGCCGGACGCAATTCCTGCTGTACCAGTGGCATCCGTTTTTAATGTACATAGCAAGTCATTTCATTTTCCTGTGACATATTCGTTTGAACTGAAATCGGAGTGCTCCTTTCTTAACTTCTTTCTCATTTCTGACCAAAAACAGCACGTTTTACATTTTCTAACATTGATGGAAATTGTTTCACAGATTTTTCGTTTGGTATTAATAAAGATAAATTATTGCAATTGAAAACTATAAATCAGAGAAAAACAAAACAATAAAAATATCTAGCAAGGAAGGAAACCTATTGAGAAAGAGTGCGCATAAAACTTGATAATGAGTCCCATCTGATAAAGCCTGTACCGCTCATCAGATAAGCCTTCTAGCTCCATATATGGTACGCGTTGTGTGACTCAGTGTAAGTGCAAACGGGAGAATGGCTATGACAATTGGTAATTATATGTGGTCTTACGTGACACAGATATTCAAAAACGGTCAATCAACTCATGATAGCGCCTGTAAAATTTCCGATAGAATAACTTTAACTTATCATTAATGTCATTTTATGTAAGCAATAACACTCTATCACCGAAATCATGATAGAAAACACAGGCTTTGGAATAGCATATCAATTGGGAGATATTATTAGTTGCACCTGATATGATATATACAGGGTAAGAAAATTCCAAATGGGGCAAGAGCGAGCGAAGCTCAAGCCCCATATGGAATTTACTGACCTTGTACATATCGTATAAGTTCACTAGCAAACTGTGTATCAAATTTACCGACTATCTTATATGAGGAATTTAGACGTAGTTGTAAACCTTGATATTCGTGTGTTTCTTTGTCCTATATGTTCTCCCATTTATTTGTATTGTGGTCCTGTCATGTGATGTTGTCGTTTTGGTGTTGTGTTTGACGTTGCCATAAAAGCGGGAGGTTTGGCATGCCACAAAACCAGGTTCAACCCACCATTTTTTTCTTAAAATGTCCTGTACCAAGTCAGGAAAATGGTCATTGTTATATTATAGTTCGTCTCTGTGTGTGTTACATTTTAATGTTGTGTTTTTGTTGTGTCGTTGTTCTCCTCTTATATTTGATGCGTTTCCCTCAGTTTTAGTTTGTAACCCGGATTTGTTTTTATCTCTATCGATTTATGAGTTTCGAACAGCGGTATACTACTGTTGACTTTATATATCACCATTTTAACAAGATTAAGCAAAACAGTCAATTATTTACAGTATTTAACGTGTTGTGTCTAAAAGCATGAAGATAGCATAGTTATGTCTGTTTACAATGTACTTTACTTTAAGAAAACAGCTTTTTTTTACAGGAACGTAACTCTTATACTAAATGTGTATTGTTTTTATAAAGGACGAAATATTACAACTAATAGCGTATTAAAATAAAACATGCCCTCTTACCAAATATCAAATATATACGGTATCTACGTGTTCGCTTTTAACCAATGGTATTCTTAGAAATGTATAGAAGGTAAGATACATATGTAAATTCTATATATATAGACACTGCTGTACTGCTGCTACATAGAAATGGAAAGTTCACAATTTTGAAATTTAATCAGCTCTTCAGTCGTAATGGTTTTTTTCTAAAACGACCCTCATTGCCAATTTTCTAGGTGTAAGTCAAGATATGAAGCGACTTAACTGTATCGAATGTATCCTTTATTTTACGGCCGGTTGTTTACCGATGTTCAAATCTCGAAAATCGATTAGAAAGAGACAAATAGAGTAAAAAACAAAACAAAAACAAAATCAAAAAAACTGAGGGACTAAACAGTCATCAAATGTTGAATTATGTACTGAGAGGACATCACCAATATAGTGGACCGTGACGTTAAAGGATAATGCTAGCTTATTTTCAGTCGTCATTAGAAACTTCTGTGGGAAGTCTGTCTCATTTGAATTAAAAAAGAGCGTCGGCAAGAACAGGAGCACAGTTGGTTCTATAGGAATGTTGAATGTCATTAAAAAACCCGTCATCCAAACAAAAAATTAATTATAGGTCACGAACAAAACGTAAAAAGTATGAAATTGTTAATTCCTTAATACACGGCTATCTCTATATTAATTGTGCGCTGAAATTTGTAAAAGAATGGTCCTTAAAAAAACTGCTGTTTGATTGGAGGGAATTTCAGATATGATTTGAAAAAGTTGGTTCCTATTTTGTGTAGTGGTTCCAGTAAACATCTACTTCGTTTGGCAACCTGCAGTGGACAAAGCGATGCGAACAAATCTACTATACCGTCCTTTGAGTATCTAAAATCAGGAATAAAATCTATGTGCACGTCAATTTTGTTCAAGGCTTCAAGGACACTGGGAGTCATTTAGATAATTTCAAGGAAAAGGATGAAGACTAAATGACTCAGAGAGCAGCATTTCTGACTATGGCTAATTAGAGGAAAATTGTACATGGACAAGTATTTTCTTTAGACAATATTAGATAATTTCAAGGAAAAAGATGAAGACAAAATGACTCAGAGAGCAGCATTTCAGACTATGGCTAATTAGAGGAAAATTGAACATGGACAAGTATTGTCTTTACACATATCACCATTTCTAGAAAGCATTATGTGTTGTTTAGACAACCTTGGAAATAATGGATATTGGACAAGTACTTACAGACCTTGGTGCATTGGCTTTAGTCTGTATTTAATATATTTAAAATCAGGCCTTTGATCAGGATCTTCATTCCAACAATCATGTATACAGGTAGAGATGTATTCCTCACACATAAGTAAATTAGTATTCGGTCTGTATGGTGGATCTTCTCCCATTTTAACTCTGTGTATAATTTCTAAAACAGTAAAGCACGTGGTAAATAAATACAAAGGTTTTGATTTTTTAACGATTGAATTACTAGAACAATACGTACTTTTAACAGATGGTATTTGGTCTTGCAATATACCAAATAATCTTCATAAAAACATTATTGCCGACAAAAATGTGTGCGTTTGTGAAATACCTTTTTATCAGTTACAAATTTTACATACATTAAGCATGTTAAGTGAAGAAGGTAATTAAAATTAAGCTGCTTCTTAATAATATTTGTTGTGTTTTTGTTTATCTATTATATCTTAATTGTTTTTTCTTAGACTTTTCACGTTGTATTTATTAATAACTTTTATAGAATTAGGGCGATAAAGACTTTGACATATAGTCAAGACGCCTGTTTATTGTTATAGACCGTACTTATCCCTTTATTTTACTATAGTTTTTTCGTTAGGTTTCGATCTCATTTACGTATACATCACGTTTATTTGTATTATTAGACACACTAACTTTCCATGGCATTTGTTGAAAACGCAGAATAGTCGTAAACTGTGGATATAATATAGCTCATGGGCACTCTTATTGCAAATTGAATATAAAGATTTTCTTTGTTTTATTGGTAATAATTCTGTTTGGTATATCTTTATTATACTATATGAAGAGATTATATATCTTAAAGGTATGTGTGTTTCATAATTCAGCTTCAAGAACTTAACTACCTTTTGGAGCAAAGTCTGTTCGTCCCCATGGTCCTAGTCGTCCATGAATTTCATACATAATTATGGCAAACGAGTAAATATCTCCTTTTGGGGTTCCATAATTACTATTATACTTGTTCCGTAATAATTCTGGTGCCGTCCAAAGAAGTCCTGTGAATGCATAAGGAGCAATGTTTATTTCATGTTTTCTTTCTGTAATCAGTTCCCTTTGCTTTTATCTGATAATTTTTAATTGTACATGCAGAATAATTTTCACGTTTATTATATATCTATGTACCTATGTATGTTTCTACCTGGTTAGCAAAACTTACTTCTTTATAGAGATATAAACAAATCACGAAGAATTTATTACAATGGATATGTATATAAACTGTACAAATTCAGTAAACTATAAACAAAATAGTTTTCATAGTGTATAGCATTTGTTTGGATTATGTACGTTTAATCATGCTGTTTAATTTGCCAACCGACAACAACAAAAGTTTCTTTAAACTACATATTCACTTTCAAAATTACTTGAACCCCCAGGATTGAATAGGGTAAAGAAATATTGTCATTTCTGATCGTCTTCCAACGGGCAGTAAACTCATCCTATAAAAGAGAGGTGTCCGTTAGGCTGTGCGGAATATATGAATACACAGCCATGTCCGGTTTGTCTTGGGACGTTGAATCCGATAGTCCGTGTAGTAAGTCCCTCGACCTGCATGTTAAAGACCCCGTGCAACCAATTTTTAGAGGGGTCGATAGATATTCTGTTGCAATGTAAAATGTCAGCCTCTATTAAAAATATCCTCATTTTCCAGCGGCCGTCGATGTATCAACCCTTCAACACGGTCTATCCCTCTGTACAACCGTTTGGATCCTTTATTAATATGCTCTGAATATGAATTAATTATTTTCTACTTGATGTTAAGCAAGCATCAAGCAATCATTTAATTAAAATTAATTGTATTTATCATCGCTTACAGTTGTTATGATAACGAGGAGAGATTTTTCTTTACCTTCACAATTACTGAAACTGTCACTCTTGTGCTGTGTAGTACTGCCAATGAGCTGTTGTAAACCAAAGTCTGATACTTGAAGAACCCATCTACTATCTACTAAACAGTTGGAAGATTTCAAGTTTCCATGATACTGTATCTCACTTTCATGTATAAATATCATACCCTACAAAATTGGAATGTATGAATTATGAAGGTAAATCCAGAAAAGCGCTTCTTACGCATGACATTTATAACGTGTTTTAGTAATTATCAATATATATATATGCTGGATGTCTCATTGGTTTTTACCCAACATCTCCGTTAATTTATATAATTTAATTTAATACAAAGCAATTTAAAATTGAGCTGTTTTATTTCAAAACAAAATAAGTTGTGCGTTATTGAAAAGGTAAAGCACTAGGAAGAAACTGATCCCCAAATGAGCCACAGCCTAAAACGTAAAATAACAAAAAAAAACAAACTCAAAGGTAAATTCAAATCGGAAAGTCCCTTATCAAATGGCAAAATTAAAAGCTCAAACACATCAAACGAATGGAAAATAACTGTCATATTCCTGACTTGGTACAGGCATTTCCTTCTGTAGAAAATGGTGGATTAAACCTGGTTTTGTAGCTAGCTAAACCCTTCACTGTCATTTCCAATAGAAACCCCCTCTTTGCATTGTACATAAAAATGTGAATGTGGTAAAGGGTCGGTTTTTTCATAGACATTCGTTATCATTCATACAAACTCTAGAGTTTACAAGTATAATAGTAATTAGAGTATATTGGCTATGCCATTGTGTGATTTATAAGTTTGGATTAAACATATCTATTCGACGGAAAGAAGTACTCTGAAATAATTTGATGCTCATGCCAGTAAAACTGAAAGATATATATTGAATTTTGTCACAAAAATTAGCATGACTTCAAAACACAAAATTACCACTGTGATGACAACCATAAGAAAGTTAAAAGAATTGTTTTAACATTAATGAACCATTATTGAATCATCCTCATGATGTCAGTTGAAAAGGTTGTCTTCATTTGTGGTTTATTTCATATCGATCGAACTGAACTACTTATTAGTACGGGAAAAGCATGTCAACATCTAGCCAATAATTTCAGTTGAATCAAGATTTACATTGATAGTTTTAAATGTGATATTAGCAATAAGATATAATAATATTATAGAAATAACTAAATTGTTTTGATATTATGACGATCTATGATTGTAATAGAAAAATGCAAGATGCATTTTCTTTGCATTTATATTTTCAATAGGATTGAATCGTTTCTTACCTTGATTAGGTCTGCAACAAGTGATGCAATAAACAACTTACCTTGATTAGGTCTGCAACAAGTGATGCAATAAACAACTTACCTTGATTAGGTCTGCAACAAGTGATGCAATAAACAACTTACCTTGATTAGGTCTGCAACAAGTGATGCAATAAACATGTCATCTAGATTTAGGTCAGCATTTTGCAAAATATCCTAAAATGTGAATCATTAATTCTCAATATGTTTTTAGCAAATCTATAACTGTAGGCTAAACTATCAGTTAGACTATCGTATATTGCACACAATTGCTAAAAAGACGAAATGAAAGATAGAAATACTACATGTTTTTGATTTTAATAGTGTTTGTCTGTCAATGCTTTTCATAAGGCTACTGTATGAAAACGTCTATTTAGTGCAGTCAGTGGTATAAGAATGTTTTATAATTTCATATCGGTAGGTTAAGTACAATGAGTTTCAGTATCTGACTAGTATTTAACTATGGTTTGTAATTGTTTTTTCCTGAACTGGTTTTAATTTATATTCTTGCATTATCCTTCTCAATCCCCGAAATCATATTAAAAATTGGATGCTTTAGATATCAAAAAGCTTCGTTAACCCTTTACTAGGTTTATGTGCCTGTCCAAAATTGAGGGAAAGTGTTAATGATTGTCCAATGTAATATCTTAATGTGTTTGTGTCATTTTTAATATTTTTGTGTTAATGACAAATCTTCAATCATATATATTGATGTGTTTCGAATATGAATAAAGAGCAATGAAGTAGAGGGCGAGTTAGAACTTTTATTTTTATTATATGGACGCCTGTCTTGATCCGGAGCTCATGTCATCATTATTGATATGGAAAAATGCTAACCGGACATCCAATGAAACACTATATTGATATAAACGTATCATGGACGAATGGATGGCGTCAAGTTGATAATCATTCACTAACATATATTGATGTGTTTTGAATATGAATAAACATCAATGAAGCACGATAACAAAAACAAAACAACAAGTGACATTTACGAGCCAACAACATACATTGTACAACTTTCAACAGCAGACAATAGTCTTACTTCACAAGTCACAAAATCTATTACTGATCCCAACATAGATATATAGATGAATTTTAAAACAAAACTACTAACTAACTGCAATCAACTCTCCTACCAGGATATATATATATATTTTTTAGTGACACCTCAAACATATTAGTCCTTAAATATAAGTGTCAAAGCCGACAAGACAAGACTTTCCTCTCATTCCTAAAGTTTACGTACGAAAAAGCAACAAATAACAAATCATAAGTCAGATTATATATTGTATGATTCGATGCAAGCGATCTACCATAAGACTTACGGTTCGAAGAAGCGAGATAGATGTGAAATTCAAAACAGCAGCATCAAAACAATTGAAAACCCCATAAAATAACATCTTTTTTCGAGCGTTGACTCTAAATTTAAGCTTAAAAGGTGACCTATAGTTGCTAACCTTCTACGTCCTTTTGTCACTGGAGAAGAGTTTATCTCCTTATTTTTATATCAAGTAGAATTTCGTGGTCCCTTTTTTCTATATGGTTTTGTATTTTGTCATGAAATTTGTTTTTAAACATTTCTTAATAAAATGTAGTGTAAAAGTCAAAGATATAAAGTGTCAATGCAAACACAAATAAAACAGTTAAGGTATATGTGAAAAGACCTGGCACACGGCTGATTTACAATTAATAGGAACGGTGAGGTTATTGTGTCACAATACACGATAGAAATGAAATAAATTGGTATATCCGTCAACCTGTAAACCTATAATAGGTAGACATTTCTGTCCTCGAATTGTCTTATTATTTATTGAAACCAAAACAATTAAGATTTTACACACATCATGGGACTACAAATGCCATTGATATTTTTGTAAATCAGAAAGAATAACATCGAGTTGTTAAAATTCCGTAAAGACTTCATCTTACAGTGAATCAAATAAAAGTAAAAAGTTATGGCATTTTCTCGGATTAGTGAATTCATGAGATTACGAAACTTACATAGAGACTTCCTCTAGCACAATATTGAGTAATGATGAAAAGATGTGGAGTTTCCACACAAGCACCAATAAACCTATTGACATTGTCATGGTTTAATTCCTTCCTCAGTTGTAACTGTTTCTTCAGTGTCCTATTGATATCAACATTCTTCTTAAAGATCTGTTTGATAGACACCACTGTCCCCTTATAAGACCCAATAAGTACTTTCTTTTCATACGACACACTGCTCTTTTTGGTAGGTTTCGTTACGCCAAGCAATGTTGTTCTCTCAGGTTCCTCAGGGCCAATCAAGTATTTGAGTGATGATAAAGATCTCCTCTGAAATATTGGAAAGTTATATGTTACTTCAAGTGTCAAAATGTGTAGTAACCTTCAAGTATGAAAGATCTACGTAAAAGGTTATTTTTCTGTGAAAAGACATTGGCCATCACTTTTGAAGATATGTTTTATAAAATAAAAGACTCGATTTTACACTACAAATAAAAAAAATATCTGATGAAAGCTTACTCGGTAAAGGTTTAAAAGTCATATATGAATATATAAAGAAGGAGGTGAAGGGCTATTCATTGTTAAATTACCCTATACACAATAAAAAGAAAAAAGATATCTACCTCAAAAGCATGAAGTTGTTAGTAAAAGTGTTAAAAAGTTTAAAATGATAGATAATATTGATTTTAGAGCATTGTAATTAAAAACATAAAATGATATGTGCATGTACAAGACATTATTAGAGAAGAGTTTGAAATTAAGTCGAAAATAGTTTACCGATGTTCTCGTTATCGATAAGGAATGAAACATATTCCGTTCATCTTTTGTCGAAAGTAATATTTGATAATCTTTGTTAACCTATTACAAAAACATTTGTACACAAAACAATTACAATTAGGGTTCATTTAAAATAATGATTATCAATGTTTGCAAATAAAGAAAACAAGATAAATGAAGGAAATCAGAGCGAAAATTATATATTGATTTCGTAAACGCACTAATCATGGTCCTGAACATTCAAGAGACAGTAAAACAGGAAAGTTTGGTTAAGAAAAGTAGAATTCAATTTCGGATGAAACTCATCAGCATGAAACAATATAATTGCAACAATAAATATTAAAATAAGATATTCGTATCCATCCAGTAAAAATAGGCAGAGGAAATACAGACAACGCTTTGTCAAAAGAAGAATAATTATTTTTAGGAAAACAACAGTTGACATAACACTACACTAAAACAGAAAGATTGAGCAACACGTTACCAATTAAAATCATTTGGTTAACCTCAGCCTAGGAAAAGTAAGCATTTCCTGTTCCTAGAGTAACACACGTCGTCTTACTTATCAAAAGCAGCAGTGACGTGATCAATAGTATAAACGAGGAAAGTAAGATAAGATGGCGATTCCGACAATTTGAGCATACCCATGATCATCTGTTGAGCATATTTTTCATAACTGTCAAATTAATCATGATGGCATCCCTAAAACTTCCGAAGACATGAAATGAAGTTTTCTGCAAGTAATGATATGAGTTTATCAGATCATTGGAAGACCCAATTTTAAGCATTACTACGAGTAAAAAAGATTCATAAACTGAAATTCACAAGATTGAAATTTTTGTTATCTCGGAAGAAACTACCTATTTATTTATATATATAACCTGTACATCCTTGTTTACATTATCACCTGTTACAAATTAGTTTGTTTAATCTTAAAAAAGTAAAAGTATGTTCCGGTATTTTTTATTCGCTTAGAGAACTCAGTTTTTACATATCTGAAACATAAGCATAGGGAAGATAATGTTTCTAGAATAGATCTATATTTATTTATACAAACATCTGCCTTCGAGTAACTTTCATCAGACATATTACTACTTCGTCCATCAATTTAGATAAAAACAATATTTTTTACAATTATTATCACAACACAAACAGTTTTTACGTGGGTTTTTACCTTAACTAAATACAATAGATAATTATGAATGGTCTTCAATCAACCTACTTGTATCAAATAGAGGACCAATAGTGACACGATGAGATATTAATGATGGATGTTTACATCAATGAAGAAATACATTCTATTTGTCGGAAACTTTTTTATCATAAGAAAATGAAACATGGCACGTAACTAAACACTTATTACCAAACTGAAGCGCGATTAGTTATAACACAATTAGGTTTTGTTTTGACGAAGTATAAAATATAAAACCGGACGCAATTAGATGATAACTCGCACGGAATGTTAATAGTGCAAAATAAGGACTGGTTAGAAATCATTTTTTTAAATATTATATTACTGTATTTTTGAAAATTTAAAAAAGTAGACATCAGATTCAAGGGTCGTCGCTTTTTTCTGATTTGACTGCCCATCCGTATAAATAGTTGCTTACATACTTACTTAGTTACCAAAAGTCAAACTCAATAAAGCAGAACAACAGAATGACGTTGCATATGCATGATGCCGAGCGTATACTATTTTATGCACCTGAAGCAGGTAAGCACAACAGGTAAATGAATTATATTTTATTCGCTGAATGAAAATTTGTCTGCTTAAAAGGTCGTACTTTTACTTCCATGTATGAATGATTGTAGAGAAGAAAGCGATTTAAAGGACATATAAATAAGGAGACATGGGACATACGTCAATCAGACAGCAACCAAACAACACTTAATATCGCTAGAAACTTGGCGATCAACATACAGTATTCGATAATATGCCAAGCTCAATATCGACTCACGTTTAAAAAAATTAGTAATATGAAGAAGGTAATATGATAAGGGCAATTTTTTAAGGTTATATCGTGTAAAATATCTTTTGACCAAAAAGTATGGGTGAAATGTCCATTTAAGGTCAAATATGCCAGTTGTGACACGTTATTGACGTCATCTTGACACCACAGGTGATCGTTCTGCACTAAAGTGTTCAGCCTATATTTACCTGTTCATTTATAAACTAATAAACATAATTTTAAATGGTTAAATATATTGAATATTTTTTTCCAATTATAGAAGAAGAGTCTTAAATGGCTTTTATCATGCATCCTCTTTTATAAAAGACTATCAAAGATCTGAAATGTATCCCCATATCTAAAAATATGACAAAACATTGGTTGATAATACAAACAATCTGTATCAGTTGAATTGCCTTAAATGACAATAGTTCATGCTGCATCATTAATGAAAGGACATTTGACTTGACATTTCGATTCTGATTACAGACGTCAATCATGTCTTATGAATGCAAGTCGTTAAAAGGGCAGAAGTGAAGTAAAGTAAATGAAAACCTTTTCATCTAGAAACAAAAGGCTTAATTTTTTCTTTAATTGCTGTACCATTTCAGCATCGTCAAAAGATTGATGACTTGCCAACGAAACGTTTATGTAAATAAGTGGAACTCTTCCATTTGGATATTGAAAACGACACGAGCTGTTTGACTTGTCTTTTCCTCTTTGGTTCGATGTATTGAAGAACCAAAAAAAATAATACAATAAATTTTTAAAGATAAATAATATACTTGCATTGGTTCTGATAGGCATGCATTATGCTCATTATTATTAATGTTATACTTGTATAACAGAAAATGGTAACGAGTTTTTGCAGGCAGATAAGGACCAAAGTGTAAAACTATTGTACAACTGTCGAAGATCGTATGTTGACCTCGATAGTAGTTGTCTTTTCGTTTTTGTGTATTGTTTGATTGCTGTCTTAATAATGTAAATCCAACATTTACTCTTGTATTCATAATTCTTTTTACCAAGCAATGCCGAATAAAAGAGATGAAACTAGAGGCTCTAAAGAGCCTGTATCGCTCACCTAGGCCTATGTGCATAATCAAGAATGAACTCTCTCCAACATTGTAGACAAGAGTAGAATTCATGACAAAATTAATTATTTTTTGTTGATCTTTGTTGCTGATCATTTTGTCTGTTTAGTTTCTCTCTATCTTTTGCTAAAAACACAAAAGAGGGTAAAAAAATCCTCATTCAGGCGTAATCACTCCTATGAAGATTGACAGTCTACTAACTATATCGGCAAAATTTGACTTGCTTGTGGATCTTGCCTTGCTGATCTTATTTGGTTTTTTTTACATTTCTATTTATCTATTACAAATTTATCATATAAGGCAAATCGCAAAAACATTGGAAAAAATCGGCATTAAAGGGCAATAACTCCAATAAGGAGTCGTCGAAAAATTTCCTCCATATTGTCTTAAATGTAGACCTTGTCTTGCTGATGAATTTTGCTTCTATCTATTATTATTTTTTTTAAGATATAAGGCAAAAATGAAAAAAAATGGTAATATTTGTCTTTTAAGGGCAATAACTCCTATAAGAAGTCGCCTGACAGATTTGACGTCTATGAACAATTTGTAGAGCTCAACATTCTTAACATTTTTGCCGTAGTCAGAATTTCTATATAACGGTTTTCAAAATAATAGACAGAACTTGCATTTTACCCCTATTTTCTATTTTTAGCCACGACGGCCATCTTGGTTGGAGGGCGGGTCATCGGACACATTTTTTAATCTAAAAACCTCAATGATGATTGTGACCAAGTTTGGTAAAACTTGGTCCAGTAGTTTCAGAGGAAAATATTTTTGTAAAAGTTAACGAACGACGGACGACGGACGCCAAGTGATGAGAAAAAACTCACTTAAGCCTTTGGGCCAGGTGAGCCAAAAAATCAATATACGAATCATGAATGACGAAATAAATAGCATTCAACTTACCTATAATTATCAACAACATTGAAAACTAACAAATGAATTTGAAATAATATCTGTTAAACAATGTATATGTCGTAGGGGCAAGCATTTATCTAAGCTATTCTCTGTTTGGTATAAATCTTTACATGTAGCTGCATTGATGGGAAGAAACTCTAATACTGTTTTGGCGAAGCAGAAATAATAAAGTTTAGGATAGATGCATGCAGTATACAACTAACTATTCTTCTTTCACATTTTTTTTTTCGGGTTAGGGAACAGATAGATATGCATGCTCAGAATTATCACCTTGCAGTTTCTGTGTTTTGGAATGCCATTGAAATGCTCAAATTGTTTCGTGTTCAAAGCTGGAAAGAATGACCTTTTATGATTGTCCTAAAACAGGATTAAACAGTATTAAAACGATTGTTATAGAAAAATTATAAAAAGTCAGAATGATATACATATAAATACAAACGAAAGAAATGAGCAGGATATAAGACAAATATAAGAAAAGCACAGTTTAGTACTGCAAAAATAAATTAAAAAAAATATTTAAAAACATTCAGACATTATAAATTTTCAAGTGATATATTCGAATATTTACTACGGTGTTTCACATATATAACTAAAATCTACTTCTCCCTTGAAATATTGTTTAGTTTTAGTTTATAAAAAATTTAGAAAACATGCACAATTTCACAAGTATGTATATACTATTATCAAACTTGTAAAAGGCCCGTTCATTATTTGTCTTACTTTTAGTGGTCTTGTGTGAGGTAGTACTTCCTCTACTGAGTCAACCAGCATCAGATCTTTGTATTCTATTTTCCATAGAAGTTTTGCAAGCTTTTGTTCATACAAATAATGTCTAAAACAAAACAAAAACATTTTTCGTTTTACTAATATCAGCAAGCTTGGAATGTCTGTATGTCAAAGCAAAACACAGAGCTTCAGCTAGGTAATGCCCATCTCTATATCAATCTTCACCAGGAACCCCACGTGTTTTAAACATTTTACAATACTTATGTTGAAATTTTACCTTTCTTAAAGTTTCAACATTGAGTAAATATGTCAATATACATGTAAATGTTTTTCGTTTCCTGTTTTTTTGATAGATTATATTTTTTTTTTCGTTTGAATTGTTTCGCATTTGGTCATGCCGGAATTTTTGTTAGCTTACTATATATGAGAAGTATAAAGAAGTGATACGGTACGTTTGTAGTGGTACGGTATGTTTGTAGTGGTACGGTATGTGTGTAGTGGTACGGTATGTGTGTAGTGGTACGGTATGTTTGCACTGGTACGGTATGTTTGTAGTGGTCCGGTACGTTTGTAGTGGTACGGTATGTTTGTAGTGGTACGGTATGTTTGTAGTGGTACGGTACGTTTGTAGTGGTACGGTACGTTTGTAGTGGTACGGTATGTTTGTAGTTGTACGGTGTAGTGGTACGGTACGTCTGTAGTGGTACGGTATGTTTGTAGTGGTATGGTATGTGTGTAGTGGTACGGTATGTGTGTAGTGGTACGGTATGTGTGTAGTGGTACGGTATGTTTGTAGTGGTACGGTACGTTTGTAGTGGTACGGTACGTTTGTAGTGGTCCGGTGTGTTTGTAGTGGTACGGTACGTTTGTAGTGGTCCGGTGTGTGTGTAGTGGTACGGTATGTTTGTAGTGGTCCGGTGTGTTTGTAGTGGTACGGTATGTTTGTAGTGGTCCGGTGTGTTTGTAGTGGTACGGTATGTTTGTAGTGGTCCGGTGTGTTTGTAGTGGTACGGTATGTTTGTAGTGGTCCGGTATGTTTGTAGTGGTCCGGTATGTTTGTAGTGGTACGGTATGTTTGTAGTGGTCCGGAATGTTTGTAGTGGTACGGTATGTTTGTAGTGGTCCGGTATGTTTGTAGTGGTCCGGTATGTTTGTAGTGGTACGGTATGTTTGTAGTGGTCCGGTGTGTTTGTAGTGGTACGGTATGTTTGTAGTGGTCCGGAGTGTTTGTAGTAGTACGGTATGTTTGTAGTGGTCCGGTATGTTTGTAGTGGTACGGTATGTTTGTAGTGGTACGGTATGTTTGTAGTGGTACGGTATGTTTGTAGTGGTACGGTATGTGTGTAGTGGTATGGTATGTGTGTAGTGGTACGGTATGTTTGTAGTGGTACGGTATGTTTGTAGTGGTACGGTGTAGTGGTTCGATATATTTGTAGTGGTACGGTATGTTTGTAGTGGTACGGTATGTATGTAGTGGTACTGTGTAGTGTTACGGTATGTCTGTAGTGGTACGGTATGCTTGTAGTGGTACGGTATGTTTGTAGTGGTACGGTATGTTTGTAGTGATACGGTATGTTTGTAGTGGTACGGTGTAGTGGTACCATATATCTGTAGTGGTACGGTATGTTTGTAGTGGTACGGTATGTTTGTAGTGGTACGGTATGTGTGTAATGGTACGGTACGTTTGTAGTGGTACGATATGTTTGTAGTGGTACGGTATGTTTGTAGTGGTACGGTGTAGTGGTACGGTATGTTTGTAGTGGTACGGTATGTGTGTAGTGGAACGCTATGTGTGTAGTGGTACGGTATGTTTGTAGTGGTACGGTATGTGTGTAGTGGTACGGTATGTGTGTAGTGGTACGGTATTTTTGTAGTGGTACGGTATGTTTGTAGTAGTACGTTATTTGTGTAGTGGTACGGTATGTTTGTAGTGATACGGTATGTATGTAGTTGTACGGTGTAGTGGTACGGTACGTCTGTAGTGGTACGGTATGTTTGTAGTGGTACGGTATGTTTGTAGTGGTACGGTATGTGTGTAGTGGTACGGTATGTGTGTAGTGGTACGGTATGTTTGTAGTGGTACGGTATGTTTGTAGTGGTACGGTATGTTTGTAGTGGTACGGTATGTTTGTAGTGGTACGGTAGATTTGAAGTTGTACGGTATGTTTGTAGTGGTACGGTATGTGTGTAGTGGTACGGTATGTGTGTAGTGGTACGGTATGTTTGTAGTGGTACGGTATGTTTGTAGTGGTACGGTGTAGTGGTACGGTATGTTTGTAGTGGTACGGTATGTGTGTAGTGGAACGCTATGTGTGTAGTGGTACGGTATGTTTGTAGTGGTACGGTATGTGTGTAGTGGTACGGTATGTGTGTAGTGGTACGGTATGTTTGTAGTGGTACGGTATGTTTGTAGTAGTACGTTATGTGTGTAGTGGTACGGTATGTTTGTAGTGATACGGTATGTATGTAGTTGTACGGTGTAGTGGTACGGTACGTCTGTAGTGGTACGGTATGTTTGTAGTGGTATGGTATGTGTGTAGTGGTACGGTATGTGTGTAGTGGTACGGTATGTGTGTAGTGGTACGGTATGTTTGTAGTGGTACGGTATGTTTGTAGTGGTACGGTATGTTTGTAGTGGTACGGTATGTTTGTAGTGGTACGGTAGATTTGTAGTGGTACGGTATGTTTGTAGTGGTACGGTATGTGTGTAGTGGTACGGTATGTGTGTAGTGGTACGGTATGTTTGTAGTGGTACGGTATGTTTGTAGTGGTACGGTATGTTTGTAGTGGTACGGTATGTGTGTAGTGGTACGGTATGTGTGTAGTGGTACGGTACGTTTGTAGTGGAACGGTATGTTTGTAGTGGTACGGTATGTATGTAGTGGTACGGTGTTGTGGTACGGTATGTTTGTAGTGGTACGGTATGTGTGTAGTGGAACGCTATGTGTGTAGTGGTACGGTATGTTTGTAGTGGTACGGTATGTGTGTATTGGTACGGTATGTGTGTATTGGTACGGTATGTTTGTAGTGGTACGGTATGTTTGTAGTAGTACGTTATGTGTGTAGTGGTACGGTATGTTTGTAGTGATACGGTATGTATGTAGTGGTACGGTGTAGTGGTACGGTATGTCTGTAGTGGTACGGTATGTTTGTAGTGGTACAGTATGTTTGTAGTGGTACGGTATGTGTGTAGTGGTATGGTATGTATGTAGTGATACGGTGTTGTGGTATTGTATGTTTGTAGTGGTACGGTATGTGTGTAGTGGTACGGTATGTGTGTAGTGGTCCGGTATGTCTGTAGTGGTACGGTATGTTTGTAGTGGTACGGTGTAGTGGTACGGTGTAGTGGTACGGTATGTTTGTAGTGTTACGGTATGCTTGTAGTGGTACGGTATGTATATAGTGGTACGGTATGTTTATAGTGGTACGATATGTTTGTAGTGGTCCGGTATGTGTGTAGTGGTACGGTATGTTTGTAGTGGTACGGTATGTTTGTAGTGGTACGGTATGTTTGTAGTGGTACGGTAGATTTGAAGTTGTACGGTATGTTTGTAGTGGTACGGTATGTGTGTAGTGGTACGGTATGTGTGTAGTGGTACGGTATGTTTGTAGTGGTACGGTATGTTTGTAGTGGTACGGTGTAGTGGTACGGTATGTTTGTAGTGGTACGGTATGTGTGTAGTGGAACGCTATGTGTGTAGTGGTACGGTATGTTTGTAGTGGTACGGTATGTGTGTAGTGGTACGGTATGTGTGTAGTGGTACGGTATGTTTGTAGTGGTACGGTATGTTTGTAGTAGTACGTTATGTGTGTAGTGGTACGGTATGTTTGTAGTGATACGGTATGTATGTAGTTGTACGGTGTAGTGGTACGGTACGTCTGTAGTGGTACGGTATGTTTGTAGTGGTATGGTATGTGTGTAGTGGTACGGTATGTGTGTAGTGGTACGGTATGTGTGTAGTGGTACGGTATGTTTGTAGTGGTACGGTATGTTTGTAGTGGTACGGTATGTTTGTAGTGGTACGGTATGTTTGTAGTGGTACGGTAGATTTGTAGTGGTACGGTATGTTTGTAGTGGTACGGTATGTGTGTAGTGGTACGGTATGTGTGTAGTGGTACGGTATGTTTGTAGTGGTACGGTATGTTTGTAGTGGTACGGTATGTTTGTAGTGGTACGGTATGTGTGTAGTGGTACGGTATGTGTGTAGTGGTACGGTACGTTTGTAGTGGAACGGTATGTTTGTAGTGGTACGGTATGTATGTAGTGGTACGGTGTTGTGGTACGGTATGTTTGTAGTGGTACGGTATGTGTGTAGTGGAACGCTATGTGTGTAGTGGTACGGTATGTTTGTAGTGGTACGGTATGTGTGTATTGGTACGGTATGTGTGTATTGGTACGGTATGTTTGTAGTGGTACGGTATGTTTGTAGTAGTACGTTATGTGTGTAGTGGTACGGTATGTTTGTAGTGATATGGTATGTATGTAGTGGTACGGTGTAGTGGTACGGTATGTCTGTAGTGGTACGGTATGTTTGTAGTGGTACAGTATGTTTGTAGTGGTACGGTATGTGTGTAGTGGTATGGTATGTATGTAGTGATACGGTGTTGTGGTATTGTATGTTTGTAGTGGTACGGTATGTGTGTAGTGGTACGGTATGTGTGTAGTGGTCCGGTATGTCTGTAGTGGTACGGTATGTTTGTAGTGGTACGGTGTAGTGGTACGGTGTAGTGGTACGGTATGTTTGTAGTGTTACGGTATGCTTGTAGTGGTACGGTATGTATATAGTGGTACGGTATGTTTATAGTGGTACGATATGTTTGTAGTGGTCCGGTATGTGTGTAGTGGTACGGTATGTTTGTAGTGGTACGGTATGTTTGTAGTGGTACGGTATGTATGTAGTGGTACGGTGTACTGGTACGGTATGCTTGTAGAGGTACGGTATATTTTTTTCTCTCTAGTTGATTACATGTGCATACTCGTCCTTTGATATTTGGTGGAAAGTTGTCTCATAGGCAATCATTGTAGTAGAACGGTATGTTTGTAGTGGTACGGTATGTTTGTAGTGGTACGGTATGTGTGTAGTGGTACGGTATGTGTGTAGTGGTACGATATGTTTGTAGTGGTACGGTATTTGTGTAGTGGTACGGTATGTGTGTAGTGGTACGGTATGTGTGTAGTGGTACGATATGTTTGTAGTGGTACGGTATTTGTGTAGTGGTACGGTATGTTTGTAGTGGTAAGGTATGTTTGTAGTGGTATGGTATGTTTGTAGTGGTACGGTATGTATGTAGTGGTACGGTATGTGTGTAGTGGTACGGTATGTGTGTAGTGGTATGGTATGTGTGTAGTGGTATGGTATGTGTGTAGTGGTCCGGTATGTTTGAAGTGGTACGTTTGTAGTGGTACGATGTTTGTAGTGGTACGGTATGTGTGTAGTGGTATGGTATGTGTGTAGTGGTACGGTATGTGTGTAGTGGTCCGGTATGTGTGTAGTGGTACGGAATTTATGAAGTGGTACGGTGTAGTGGTACGGTATGCTTGTAGAGATACGGTATGTTTTTTTTTCTCTCTAGTTGATTACATGTGCATACTCGTCCTTTGATATCTGGTGAATAGTTATCTCATAGGCAATCATACCACATCTCTGGTGGATAGTTGTCTCATAGGCAATCATACCACATCTCCATTGTGTATATACAATGTTTCTGGTGGTAGACCGTTTAATTTTGACAGTTGAGGTGAGGTTCTATATAATATCCGTATTTTTTCATTACTATACATGTATGTCTATGTGAATAAAACAATAGTTTAGTTTGACATGCTTCTTAAAGTTCTTTTGATAGAAAATTGTTGAAATAAAAAAAAAACCAACGAAATAAACATTGCATAAAAAACACGTAATGCTGTCTCAGTCATTTATGATTCCTTAGTTCGTGATCTGGAACAATAAATCCGTTTTCCAATTAGATTTGGGTTGGGTTAATATATTTTTAGATACGTATATAGTATTAAAACACTAGGTATAACCAAGGTTTTATGATGTCAAGCCTACAACCGCAATCGTTATATAAAACTTTGCTATTAAGATGACGTATAAAAACTTACTTACATAAAACCTCAAATTTTTAAATTATAAAATTGGAATGCTACAATTAAGATCTATATTTAGTATGGATAGATTCTTATACTGCATCCAGAATGATACGAAAATTCTCTTCCTGGAGCACTTAAATTTTAAAATTTATAACGCGAGACTTGATGGGCACTTTAAATATTCAGATTACATTGACTAAGAATTATAGAGAACTTTTATTTCCATTTTATTTGATCTTTTGGCTATAAAGTGTTATTTATTACTGATTCTAAGGATGGATCAAAGTTGTACTTAGCCTTCTTAAACGTATGTTGATATCAGTTCAGTGGATTTATAAGAGCTATTCATTCATTTGCATATATGATAATTGATGACATAGAATATAATTCAATGTGATCACTGGTTGAAGACAACATAAACTTTTCAACGTCAGATTAAAAAATAAAAAAAAACTACTCGTTAAGTCTTGTTAAATTCAATAATAGCTTCTTTACAAAAGACAGCCGGATGATACCAAAAGGGACAATCAAATGTCAGAAGTTGAAGACAAACATACAAAACCATGGCTTCTAAAATGCATCTATAGTAAAAAAAATCTTTCTCATAAAAAACTATTTACATAAATAAAATATATAATAAATGAAATCATTTTCCTGACCTTGTTATATAATAAAAAATTATGATGATTTAAGCGATTGTTCTTCTTTTATTGTACTGTTTTACATTTTCGATTTTTGAAACACAATCAAGGTGCTGATCCAGATATGGGTTTTGATAGTCTCCTTCTATCTGTTCACACTTATTTAAAATAAATTTACCTTAACACAAAACCTCCTGCAACTAGCATTGCTGCTACAACTACACTGCATATAGTTGCTATTCTCCAATCTACAATGTTATACATAAGATTCAAACACTTGACTTTTAGTGGAAACGTTTTAACTTGTACTAATAACAAATTAAAAAATTATGTACATTGTATCACAAACAACACATACATGTAATGGATGAATAATTACAACTAGAATTTGTAAAATTGAAATCAAATCAAATCAAATCAAATCAAATCAAATCAAATCAAATAAAAAAATAGTTTCATAAATAGTGTAAAGTTGAAATAAGTGCCGATTTTAAATCCAAATTTCACATGATTGTAATTCTTGGCCATTACTGTTTATTTCATTTACATAAGCGTTTGTACAACTACTGAATATTACAACTATATTCCACCAAGCAATATGACAGGTACAGTAATTATTACTACGGCTCCGGAAGATACTTCCACACCCATTACTTTTCAAATATATGATTTTTACCTATTTGGTGAAGACACTTTTCACCATCAAATCCACAGTGAGGTTGATCCTTTGGTGTGTATCCTAACAGCCACTTTACTTTACGTTCTTCGATAAATGACTGTAATAAATAATGATTATAAAACATTAGTTTGTTATTAAGGGTAAGAAGTTTATGTTTTTAGAAGTTTTGATTCATCTTTACTTAAGGATTGCTTCCCTGTTGATGCAACGTTTAATTTATATCAACCCAACAATCGCCATTTTTATTATCACGGTTTTTTATGACGTACGTGGAACGTCTGTAGCTTTTTTGCCATGTATAATGATCCTTGTTAAAAGCTTTTTTGCCATGTATAACGATCCTTGTTAAAAGCTTTTTTTTCCTGTAGACGAAAATTGTTTTCACTAGCAAACCGGAAATGGACTGGATAAGTTCGGATAAGCACCATCAAGGTCGGGTCTAACATTATCCATGTGATATGTCGGCATCAAAGTATTTAATGCCAATGACAGGTGAAGCATATTTTGAATAATAATGAAATTGTGATAAGGCTTCATTTTTATTGAAATAATTGCGATACAAAAGTGTTTTAATATGATGATGTTAGAAAATCAAATCGGAATGTATAAATGTTTGCAACGCCGTTTAATATGATCAACCAATCTCTTTCATTTGTCAAACTGCCTGAACCAATTCGCTACATTAATTGTAAAGGGCAAGTAGTTTCAATTATCTATTTTGCAGTTGACACGAACTAAGATTTATATATATGAATGAAGATTATCTATACCTACTGGTATTTTGTGGCCGGTGGCGTTCATTTGATAAACTCCTACGGGTGTTAATGATAATTTACCATCAGTATCCGTTAGTCTTAAAAGGGAATAGTTGCCCTCTGAATCTCCATAAGAGTCAATGTAAAAGTCATATCCTTGTATACCTGTAAAATGTAAAAGTCATATCCTTGTATACCTGTAAAATGTAAAAGTCATATCCTTGTATATCTGTAAAATGTAAAAGTCATATCCTTGTATACCTGTAAAATATTATAATCATAAAAGTACATTAACAGTATCTTATCATTGAATATGGGCAGTCGAGATGGGTGAAGGCAGCACTGTGACAAAACAATACTACAGTTCAATCAAGCCATATTTCGTTTCCGTTTGTTATTTTTGTTATTTTTAGTATAAATAAGACATTAAAATTGGTTCCTCTTTTGAATGTTTCACTTTTTGTCGTGCCTTGGCTTTTTATTGCGGTTTCGTATCAGTTTGTTTTAAACATCGAGTATCATTTAAAAAAACAACGCAGGGGCAGCTAAAACGCGCAGCAGTCGACAGGTTTACTATTTTGTCGTAAATATTTTAAATATCATTTAGATATTAATGCTGAGCCTCCCCATCCCCTTTTCGTTTAATTCGAGTTTCGTTAATTAATCTTATGTAGACGAAACGCGTGTCTGATGTACTGAATAATAAATTTTAATTTTCGCATCTTTCAATAGTTTTTAATAATTTCTTAAAATAAGGTAGCAACCAACCATTTCATTTGCATGGGCGTGGCGCATAGAAAAGACTGAAAAAAATAGGATTAAAAATGCTGGGTATAAATATGGTTATAAAGAAGCCATCCTTTTATTTACAATTTAATAAGTAAAAGAAGAAAAAAAACCTGATAATTTGTCTCTTTATGTTCCCACACGTAAACTGTAAACAAAACATTCAGAAATGGAGATCTTTTCTCCCTCTTCGTTTTCATCTCTTACATGGGTTGGTATTTTTGATTCTTTGGATTGATGATAAACGTGACGGATAACTTGATACACATGTATCACCTTAAATTTATAACCGAAGAAAGTTACTATTGTTAACGTTTATCGACACAACAAATGATTTCCCTGTTTTTACATAATAAAACGTCGTTGGATGTACATTATTTATTGTTTTTGATAACAGAAAATAATATAAACAATTATCTTTCTTTAAAGGGTTGGGTCTTGTTTCGGATTCATATTATGGATTTTAAATGATTTGTGTTATTCATCCTTATCTCATTCCGGATTGTATCTCTTCCATTGACTTATTGTATTTTATTTGTCATGTTCTTTCACATTGCAAGTTTAGCTTTATGTAAAAATGATAGAACAACGCCGGGGAGATCTCACAGAAATATTTAAACAAATATTCTATCGATATACCAATATCATTTTACGCCAAATCCGCTTATCGCCTACTGAAGTCTCATCAGTAACATTCGAACTCAAATTAAAGAGTATATTCAAATGTTTATTACTGAATGTTTATCATTGTCTCCAAGGAGTAGATAATTCTAAAGTTCGCACAATTCTTCACAATTTACTGTCGTAGGTCTACATAAAAAGTTGCAAAGACGTTATAAACTTATTGATATATTGTAATGTTGAAAAATATATTGAATGGTGTGTTTTAAACTGTAATTTAACCTATTTTTGTCATTGGATGTAGTAGAACATGTGTTGTCATTGGATGTAGTAGAACATGTGTTGTCATTGGATGTAGTAGAACATGTGTTGTGTTCCAAAGAAACGTTATGTTTGTTTATATGTAATGAATAATTATTCTCTTACTTTTGTAGGTTCGGTCTCTCATCACCCCCACTACTGCACTACCGTTTGAGATCGATCCATTGAGTCTGAGGACCTCCTCTATAGCATCTATATATATTCTAACTGCGTCATAAAGATAGGCAGCAAATATCGGTACCTGTTGCTGTGAAATCAAAGAATCAAGAATCAATATTCAGTCTAAAACTGGTCCATTACTATTAGGACTTAAATATATATCCAGTATAATTCCAATGTAAACAAGTTAAATAATAATAAATTGAATAGTTTTAAGTTTATTACAAAATCCTTAATTTTCTATTTCAACTATACAAGTATATTACAATGAAACGATATAAATCATTTTTTAATTGATAAGATATCATACATGGTTTGTGACCTGAAATGATGGTTAACTGCATTACAAGAGACTTTAGATCCTCGCTGTAACTCAAATTAGGTTGTCAATTTGACTGTCCCAAGTCAGAAACCTCGTGTCATTCGTGATCTGTCGTCGTTTGTTAATGCTTTTGTTATTTGAAGATTTCGGTGTTGGTGACAGGTCTTTGATATTCTCTACTTAATTTATTCACAACGTTCTAGACCCGGGAAGGGGGATGAATATAAACTCATCATAAATACCAGGATTAAAATGATGATTTAGAGCTTGACATATTTCAAGTCAGGAATATGACAGTTGTTTTCCATTCGTTTGATGCTTTTAATTTTGCCATTTGTAAAGGGACTTGACGTTTTTAATTTTCCTTGGGATTCGGTATTTTTGTTATTTTACTTTTTTCATAGACACCTGTCAATTGTAGAGTACTGTATGATTGTTAAAGTTGACATATAGAAGTCAATGAGTTATCTTTGTCGTTTTGGTTGCTGTCTCATTACCATACAACCCATCTCATTTTATTCACTATCCAAAGTCAGAGCCTTGAAATGATACCAAGTGAAATGATACAGCTGTGTCTGTTCATTAGTATGAACTGTTATAAAATAAAATTGGATGAACCTTGACCTGGTTGTGCAGTATAAAAAAATTACCGAAATAATATTTGTTACAAAGATGTATTGCGAATTCAAGTTCAATAAAATAAAATAAAAAATAAAGATAACACTTTATAAACTTGCTGCGTCCGATATTCAATTTTCACGTTTGACAGTGATTGCTAAATGATATTATACCGGTCCTTAGCTTGAAAGTACATACACATTTATAATAAATGTATAAGACACTATATAAATAACACATAGCTGAGAGGGTGATAGAGCAGATTGTTACCCCGAGAAAACATTGTCAACTGAGGCGAAGCCAAGGTTGACAATGTCTTATCGACGGGTAACAATCTGCTCTATCATCCTCTCAGATATGTGTTATTTGATTTATTATACTGAATGTACTGTTATTACTGTCTATTAAATTTCAAATTCAAAGTAATAAACTATGTCGTCTTGTACATAACAATCATCCGTATTTATCAAAGCGAGCACTTGAGCAAGCGTCTCCGTGAAGGGTAATATAGTATTTGCCATGGGATAGAGTAAATTGTCTCCCTCGTATTAACCAATCAAAATCTGGCATTTTGACATGAAGTATAATAATACGAATTATCGTACTATTGAGAGTACAGTGTTACCTTGGTATTAAGATTTGCTGGAAATACAGGTAGGTTTATTGGACTTTTCGTGTTTCGCTTTCTAACATCATCAAGGAATTCGCCCCACTCAGGACTGGTTGCAGCTCTTGGTGCGAGTAACATCAATGGATGAAAGGCCTTAATGTGGCGTTCTTTAAGTTCGTTTTCATACGGTTCTGTAAATGATTTAAAGTTAAACATATTAAATAAGTGCCATGCAACAGGTTCGTGGAGTTTTTTTTTTTCTGGTTTTTGAAAAATTGATTCCTATTTCAACTTGACTCTTGATCATTTATGTATGTTGGTGTATTATCGGAATTTATTATATTTTTGGTTCTGCCTCATTGACGTGTATCTCGTTAAATGCATGTGATATAAAAAAACAATTCCGGGAATTACAGAAATGCATGATACTCAACTTGTTTTGTTGCTTTTATGAGGCATATAATTGTTAAATGTTGCTCGTCCTTTAGTCTTTATGTCCTTTTGCGACTTATGATATTTTTTGTATAATTCCCATGATATTGTTTTTTAATTCTCTACGCAATAGGCTGTCTCAAAGTTTTGTGTTTTGACCCTAAAACACGTCGATAACCACCCGGCCACACACTGTAATATCTATATAAAAAGTCTCTCACTTTGTACATGTTATTGGAAATTTTATACACATGTATTTAATAGATATTTAATAGATTGTTGGCATGACACGGGTTATGTTCTTCTCATATATGTTATGATGGTTTGATACTAAACCCCTAACGGGAAGGATTGTGCCTGATATTCATATGATGAAGACATAATCTTTCAATCAGTTTAATTGAAGTCTGGAGCTGGCATGTCAGTTAACTGCTAGTAGTCTGTTGTTATTTATGTATTATTGTCATTTTGTTTATTTTCTTTGGTTACATCTTCTGACATCAGACTCGGACTTCTCTTGAACTGAATTTTAATGTGCGTATTGTTATGCGTTTACTTTTCTACATTGGCTAGAGGTATAGGGGGAGGGTTGAGATCTCATAAACATGTTTAACCCCGCCGCATTTTTGCGCCTGTCCCAAGTCAGGAGCCTCTAGCCTTTGTTAGTCTTGTATTATTTTTAATTTTAGTTTCTTGTGTACAATTTGGAGTTTAGTATGGCGTTCATTATCACTGAACTAGTATATATATATTTGTTTAGGGGCCAGCTGAAGGACGCCTCCGGGTGCGGGAATTTCTCGCTGCATTGAAGACCTGTTGGTGACCTTCTGCTGTTGTCTGTTCTATGGTCGGGTTGTTGTCTCTTTGACACATTCCCCATTTCCATTCTCAATTTTATGGTAATACAATCCACTAATATAAAAGTAAGAAGATGTTGAATGATTGCCAATGAGACAAATAGCCATTAGAGACCAAAGGACGAGGTCTTAAACAACTATAGGGCACTGTACAGTCTTCAACAATGAGCAAAAATATATACCGTATAGTTAGTTAGTCATGACAAACTGTACAAAAAATAAAAAGAGGAAACCAATAGTCTCATTTATGATAAAAACACTAAACGAAAAACGAGTATGGCAGACAGCAACCAGCGACAACCACTGAATAACAGGTGTCTGACTTGGGACATGCACATACAGAATGTGAAAGGGTTAAACATGTTTAAAAGCGCTCAACACTCTCCTCACCTGGGTCAGTGGTATAACAGCAAAATATGATAGCAATCTATAAACATCGGGTAGAAAATCAGATCAGCAACAAGCACACAAATATCCCGTAACAAAAAGACAACTACAGTACAAGGTACCACTTTGAGAATATTCACAGCTTCATAAAGCTGGTTCAAAGAAACTTCCAAATACTAGATAAAGTATGTTTCCCGCGACTACCACTAACATTATTATAAGTGTCGCTATCAATATAATATAAATAAATCACCAAAATTGTAATATACTAATCAATTAACTAATTAATTTGGGGATAATAATTATAGTTCGTGCCTTTATTCGACGGAGACTCAATCAAATGTCTTTGTTGTACAGTGTACAATGTTATATTCAATGACAATGTTAAACCAGAATTGTGAACATTGGATACTTGATGTGTTGTAAATCTTGTTTGGTTATATTATTGCAGAAATTTGTATTTTATCTACATGTAGATACTGAGACAATAATATTTGTCAGACACAGCATGAAAACGAAATGTTTCGCTGATGCGTAAATATGTCACGAAAACTGCACATTTATGTCTTTGACAATGTAATGTATGTCACTGATACTATAAATTATGTTGCTAAATGATATTAACATTGCAATACATACGCCTAAGGAAATATTTATTGTCGCTGCCTGGGAAGTAAGGCTTCTGATCGGCTGAAATTACTACATATTCTCCAGTATTCGTTTCCGGTTTGGCATGCATGGCCCTCACAAAATCAATCAAGGCATGATAATCTCCCAGAAAAACGTAGACTGAAATGAAATCAATAGATAAAGTCCACTAAATGGTTTCTGTTATTTCATTCTCTATTATCTAAGTAATTAAGTATTATTCACTGACATGCAAAATACCGTTTAACACAAGGACAGGTATCTCATCTTAGGAACATTGCAATGACAAACGGATAGCTGCAGAATGATTTATATAGATAATATAAAACAAAATAAGTAGGGCAGCAATACATTATTATTAACTTTATATTGAATTGACAAATTGTATTTGAAAGAAAAAACTCTAAGTAAGTAGATATAATAATATAAAAACGCAATCTATAGCTAATACCAATACCAAACAAAACAATCTATAGCTAATACCAATACCAAACAAAACAATCTATAGCTAATACCAATACCAAACAAAACAAACTAAACAATTTTGAAAAAATGTTTCCAATCTAATAATTTTGCATTTTCAGTCTATCATATTATCTGTCTGTGTCTGATTCTCCCTGTTTATAAATCTGGTAATTGCATTACCAATCGTGAAATGAGTTGGTCCTATTTTTTACATTTTGTCTCTGTGAATTGTGAGAAAAATATCTCGACACAAACATGCAGCTTTTTTTTCTTTAACCATAAGGAAACATGGTTATTGTTTTACTACATTCATGTTTATCCAACCCAGAAACAAACTGTATATTCTAAAAGCATCTGATATTTGGTACAGATCAAAATGTATTTAGTATATTCATATAAGTATCAACTGTGCTCTGCTTAACCATGGCAGGTCTCCCAACGTTGAAGCCACAACATAACTAATAACCTTATTTCAATTTTGAAAAAAAAACAATCAACAAGTATGGAAGCATATCTGATAATGTTTTTACCACTAAAACCAGTTTAAAATATGCTATTTCACGTTTATTTTTGTTTACAACGAATAAAAAAAGCAAAGGAGCTATGAATTAGAGTTGCTGTATTACCCATTTTTTATTTTAAAAAATATGGCGCGGAATCGAGGACGTCATAAATATTGAATTTAACTTATGCTACATTCAATTTAAGCACAATATAAACCATAATTCAACATATTTAGTCATCACCCATTTACATATTTCCAAGCAATCAGTGTACAATTGACATCTTAATTTGATGTAAACAACATGAATCATTTCTAAATAATAATTTTATAAAGAGATGAGTGCATAGTTTTTACAGACAACTGAACAGATGAATATTTATGACCTTTTGAAATATATGTATTATTACCCATAATTATATAATCTCCATGAAATTGTAACCATTGATATATTTTCCATTTCGAAAAAGTGACCCTTACACACATGTGCGTAAACCCCCCCCCCCCTTTTTTTTTTTTCTTTCCCCCGTGTGCTTAACCAGCAATGTGTATAAACCGCGGTTCTAAAGCAATATAATTCACCGATCGGGTCTCGAATAACCATAATTCTATTCTCGACTGTATAACCCATTTAAGCTAATATAATCTAACGTTTTAAGCATCGTCATCTTGAAACCAATCAAAACTTACTTTTGTTACGTAATAATTTCAAGATGGCGTATATAGCTCTCTACACAAGGTGTCAGGTTTTACGTCCCGATTCTAACCATCATACACATATTTACGGAGTTTAAAACACAATTGAAAGCTGACCTCGCCACAATTTTTTTCGCGCGGTTAGATGAGAACCCTTAGATGTTTTGAGATGAAGCTGTAAGTTTCTTTCAGCATGAATACTTATTTTCAATCAATGCAAGGAACGATTTTTAAGACAAAGCTACATGCCTATCTATTTAATTATTCATTCACAATTATTTCCAATTTATTTGTTAGGTTATTTATTTTAATACAAGATAATATTTTATCCAGTAGCAGTGCAAAATGATTGTCCCTTAAGTATAGTCCTTAAACGAGTTCGAACGTACGTATCACGATAAAATAATCACTTTGCGTTTATTAGAAAATCTTCAGCTTTACTGCACAATTAAGTTTCCAATGTTACAATTAAGTTATGATGGTATTTTACAAGACAATAACCTTTTGATGAATATTTAAATATGGAATAAATTAACTGCACGATTAAGGATGGTGGATGTTTTGATGATAATTATATAAGTTGTAGATCTTGGCTAATAATAAGACACAATATACGAATCTAAAGAATACTGAAAAAATTATCACAAAACATAGTCAATTAGTCTCCAAATCCCCGCCCCTCCCAAAAAAAAATAAAAAAAGAAAGGGGGAAAAAAAGTGATTTCATATATATACAAATAAGCACAAAATACGTTTTGAACCTAAACACAAGTTACCTAAAGAACCCTAGTGAGCAAGCTTATATACTTAACACCCAGACTTATTTCAGGGGGTCAACTGCTATAAAATATATCTTAGGTTTCAATCCCAGAGATGGCTTTAGTGAATCACATTTTCACAACTCGTACTCACCCAAGAAGTATATGGCAAAAGGCGGAACGGAACTACTTTTGGCAAGGACATCTTCATTTTTTCCGTATGTTTTTACTTTCACAAATTCTGCATTTTGAATTAATAATAAAAGATAATATTTGTTTCTTATTCGTTATTTGTCTGTGTCGGCCATCAGTTAATTAGTTAATCGTATCAATTAGGGGTATTGTTTAGACATTAAGATACATGTACAAGTCAACATAATTTTCTTCCAATCAACCCAAGAAAAACTTTATTCCAAATACCCTTATTTTTAGATGCCATCGAAAAAGGTCGGTCGTTTCATGTCTTAAATCTAGCACGTTTATTGAATCAAAACATTATCTCGTGGAATTCTTATTCTAGTAAATAAAAAAACTATCTGTACTGGGCGAATATTAGCGTATCTCTCACTAATCGTAGCTGATAATGAGTTTATGTTTCGAATTTTCGAGCTTTGTTTATTGAGAAATGCTTAAAGACAAAGGAAATATCGCCTTTATTATAACGTTTCCGTATAATAGTTCGTTATCCTTAGAAAACAAAGTCATAAAATCTATACTAATTTAATGCAAATATTTCCTTCGATAAGTGATATCCATAATCACAAAACAAATGCATTATGCTAAAAAACATCTTATTGTGTTTCAAATTATATGACTTTTTATACAGAGTTACATTCTATACGGGGAAGCTTTTATGATTGTGAAGAGACATTAGACCCTTGTTATGATGTGTAATTGTATAATGGACGAGTTTGTCATGATCAATTAACCACTTACTTCTGGTATGTTTGAAGGTTTTGTCAAGCAGTCTTCTCATTTTAGAATTATTTTCATTAGTTTGTTGTCCATGAACTATAACACTGTAAGGCTCTTTAAAAGATTCGATCTGGGTTATTGCGATTCCTCTTTCTCTAGCCAAGATGGAAAGACTGTCGGCAGTCTTATTCCACACCGGAGATGAACCAACTATCATTGTTATAATTTTCCATTTATAATGCTGAATAAGTGATATGATAGACTTGGAAACTTTAGATGTGGACGGCTGAATCCGAACAAATGTTCGTCTCTCTCTATCATGATAAATATCCGGTTCTGAGGTTGAAGAGTCGTGACATCTCTGAAATAAATCATTCAAATAAACAATATAATTGTCTAACAGATGGTCATTTACTGCTAATTATGGTTGAAATATAAAAGATATTGGCTACACTATATAATCATAGATAAAATGTGATCTTAGACTAGGTCTTATTGATAAGTTCCTTATTGAACGAATATCTTAAAGTACATAGTATAACAATTTGAGTACACACACAACTATTGTTACATGTACATTCCTTTTTTTATCATGTTCATAGACATGTTATACGTTTCAACAGAAGTTAGAATACAAATTCTCTGAGAAGGGAAAGTACACATAATTCGAAATCTTTAACTTTCTACGTATGACGATGAAATGTTACGATATTTCGATTGTTTCTCCCTCTCTCACTTGATTGTGCATTCCAAGATACACGATACGAAAAACTCCTTCGATACCATTCTTAATAAATAGTGTACATTCTTTAAAAAATACATTTGATTTGAATGATGAGATATCATTTATATTCTTTTATTTTATCAAAACCTATAAATTAACTTGAAATAGATCTTTTATAATCTAGATAACGAAATAGATCATGTATTAAAGTAACAAATTATCAGAATACTGATAACTTTGACAATTAAATATAGCAAATAACTTATTATACTCGGATAATCTCTTATCCCTATCTAAGATTTTATTTTTAGGTAGCTGTCTACAATGAGATAGATGTGTACCTTTCTGAAATCAGGTCAAGGTGTTCGATTTGATTACCTTTATTGTATATCAGATTCACGCCTGGATTCAATGACTAACTATCAGCCAAAAAACGTTCGTCTAAAGTTTAAACTACATGAAATGTATAATTTAACACGATTTTAACATTTTTCCATAGAGAAAAAATGTGTTTCTTTAAGAAGTAAAATTATTAGTAATCAATAAGAAAATATAAAAATCAAAAACACAGAGAACCCCAACAATATCGGTAAGCTATCATAAATGTAACAAATTCACAAAAACAAAAACTAGAAGATATGTGAGGAAACTCATAAATTAAACCCTCTCTCAGAATTTAAACAAAAGGAGATGTGGGATACAATATGTCACAAACACAGACACCCACTTTTACTGAAAAAAAAAATGTAGAGAAGTCTATGCATATGTATATCTATACAATGTCATATTCAAATTCATATTATACAAGGATCACAACAGGCCGTATGTCTCAATATACAGGAACTTTTTTTTCAAGAACAAAGAATGATATAGGCAACGCGTCTGATTAACAAAGACAGCAGTTCAACAAATGCTTACAAGTACCGAGCATTCAACGCTAACAAATAGAACTCTTATAGAATATTTGTTTCAAGAAAGAAATCAAGAATCCCAAAACTCTTCCGATGCTTCCGACCATTGCTTTAAACGACAAAACTTTTAAAAGATGTCTGTTTCAAAAAACAAAAATAAAAAAATCCTAAAACTTTATCGATGCTTCCTAGCATCGTGTTCAACGCTAACAAATAGAACTCCTATAGGACCAATGTTTTAAGAACGAAAGCAAGAAACTAAGACTTCCTCGATGCATTAGTACTGTATCACATTTTAATTACATCAGCTCAGAAAAGTATAGTATCAATAATCAATTTAAAGCCTGTAATTCTGATTTAAATTTTGTATCAAATTGGTCTTACTATAATATAACATTTCTCAAGCGTAAGCAATCAATATATTGATTAAATTTTAATTGCTTTTTTTAAAGAGATTCCTACGCATTTCACCATAATATTTAAATAAATGAACGATTGCTGATCTTTTCAATATTTTAATTGTTTAAAGAATTTAAAAAGACATATTGGTGCATCGTAGATTTTGTAAGAGTAAGTGAAATGGTATTCAATTTGGATAATTATACATTTGGTTTCCAGTTCCCATTACCAAATAAGGTTAACTGATGAATTTAAATACGTAGGTTTTCTAAAATACATTGTTAAAAATTGTATTACATTATGCAAATGCATTTTCAAATAATCTAATATTGTTTAATGGAACTTATATTATGATTGATTTATACAATTTCAAGTGCATGAATTAATAAGATTTTTGTTTTGAGAATTTTAGATTTCAATTTTTTTGTTTTCGTTGATTAATTATACAAATCTCGCATGTGACCTCCTCTCTTCTCCGTTCGTACATTTACATAATATGGCTGCTTTTTACTAGTGTATGTCCGGTTGTTTCTTTCTATTTTTCATATGTGTTCGGTTTTTGTTGTTGTTGCTTTTATTGTGTAGAAACTAATTTCTGATAAAACAAACACAACAGAAGCTTGAATTTGTAAATTTTAGCCTACATACAATAAGGGTTTTATCCCTTCAATGCAGGATTTCAAATGCACTGTTCACAAAACAAATGCTTCCAAAGCTGCTGTTTACAATCGACGTTATATCTGTTTTATAGGAATAATGGACATTGATTTAAATAAATCTTCTATTCAATATTGCTGCTATCTTCGTAGTTTTAAATCCACAAAAACCTATTACAAGCCCGTATTCATTTTAATTCCTCGGAATTAGCATTTATTAACGTCTTGAGGGATAAAAGAAATTCAAAATGTTACAATGTCAACACAATTTAATTCAAAGTTCTACAAACAGCAACATCTCCAGATGTTATTGTGTCAATTCAGCAAAGGTACAATGGATGTAATAATATGATATCATGACTTGTTATCAGACTTTGTATTAATTCTTAAATTGACAGCTTGTCTAACATTTCACAATGAATTGCTAATCAAAGCAAGGCAATGCTACCAAGAAGATAACGATAATAAATCATTGCTCAATCATTATTCTTATTAAAATAAAGGGTGACATTTTATCAAGGACAATGTACATGTTTAAAGACCATATTCACAAGGTTTACCCTTAGCTGTTCTGCAACTTATTTTACAAATTAAACTGTCAGTATACCAATGTTAAGTACACCTTTTAATTTTGGATTGACGAATAGAATCTTTGCAAAGACATTATGCAATAACAGAATCTTCGACATGACATCTTTTTACAAAATCCCAGATACTTAATATTAACCTACATTTTGCAAGCATTCTTTAAATATTAACTTAAAACAGCTGGCATATGTAAGAAGATCATGATACTGTTCAGAAAGATTGTTTTCCATTTATTTGTATTGTCTGGCATTGAAGAGTTGTTTGATTTACTGAAACTTGCATATTTCTTTTAAACCGGCTACAATTTTTAATTAGCTCCAACCACCAAACAATTTATACAGGAAAATTTGTAAAAAAACCTTTATCTTCGGACCATATTTTCTGTAAATTGAAGAATTGAATGCAGAATTGGAAAGTTTTTTTAGCGATACGAGAAAGTAAAACATTTTCAGATGCGGATCCAGGATTTTAAAAGGGCAAACCAACGCATTGTTATGAGTTTGACTTGTTAAAAGTCTATGCAGTAACCATATATGAAACTCCATAATGAGGCCAGGGTCCGTACTTTCTAATTACTTACTCAAATTATTTTACAGACCATTTCCTTATTATCTTTCGAGACATATCTGCACTTTGAATACGAGGTAATTCAGTACTCTTATTTTTTCATATCATTCCAATATAATATTGTAGACCATATTGGACAACGCTTAGCGGGCATATCGGACAACACTTACTTCTGTTATAGAGAGCATATCGGACGACACTTACTTCTGTTATAGAGGGCACATCGGACAACACTTACTTCTGTTATAAAGAGCATATTCGACACCACTTACTTCCGTTATAGACTGCATAACAAACAACGCTTACTTCTGTTCCGTTATAGAGGGCATATCGGACAACACTTGCTTCTGTTATAGAGAGCATATCGGACAACGCTTACTTCTGTTATAGAGGGCATATCGTACGACGCTTACTTCTGTTATAGAGGGCAATGTCATATCGGACAAGGCTTATTTCTGTTATAAAGGGCATATCGGACATCACTTACTTCTGTTATAGAGGGCATATCGGACAACGCTTACTTCATTTATAGAGGACAATGTCATATCAGACAACATTTACTTCTGTTATAGTGAGAATATCTGACAACACTTAGTTCTGTTAAAGAAGGCATATCGGACAACACTCACTTCTATTATAGAGGCATTTTGGGCAACATTTATACTTCTATTATAGAGAGCATATCGGACAACACTAAGTCTTTCTTCTGTTAAAGAGGGCATATCGGACAACACTTATACTTCTGTTATATAGGGCATATCGGACAACACTTACTTCTGTTATAGAGGACAATGTCATATCGGACAAGGTTTACTTCTGTTATAGAGGGCATATCGGACAACATTTACTTCTGTTATAAAGAGCATACCAGACGCCACTTACTTCCGTTATAGAGGGCATAACGGACAACGCTTACTTCTGTTCTGTTATAAAGAGCATATCGGACAACACTTACTTCCGTTATAAAGAGCATATAGGACAACACTTAGTTCTATTATAGAAGGGATATCGGACAACACTTATACTTCTGTTATAGAGGGCATATCGGGCAACACTTACTTCTGTTATAGAGGGGATATCTGACAACACTTACTTCTGTTATAAAGGGCATATCGGACGACACGGACGGCACTTATTTCTGTTACAGATAGCACTAATTTCTGCTACAAATTCATTTATGACAACATTCACTTCTGTTACAAGGGACATATCGGACAAAACATAAGTATTTTTGTTAAAAAGGGCATTTTGGACAACACTTATTTCTGTAGCAAGGAACATATCGGACATTATTTACTTCTGTTACAGGGGTTATACCTGACAACATTTACTTCTGTTACAGATGACATATCGGACAATATCTACTTCTGTTACAGGAACACGTCGGACAATATTTACTTCTGTTACAGGGTTTATATCAGACAATATATACTTCTGTTACAGGAACACGTCGGACAATATTTACTTCTGTCACAGGAGACATATCTAACAACATTTACTTCTGTTACAGGGAAAATATTTACTTCTGTTACAAGAGACATATCAGTGAACATTTACTTCTGTTACAGGGTACATGTCGGACAATATTTATTTCTGTTACAGGAGACATATCGGACAATATTTACTTTTGTTACAGGGGAAATGTCGGACAATATTTACCTCTTTTACAGGGGACATATCGGACAACACTTACTATGTTACACGCATAGGGCAACCTTTACTTTTGTTCCAAATTTAAACTTTGAAATAAATGTCATCTTGGGTGTGAGAAATGTAAAAAGTAAAAAATGTCATCTTGGGTGTGAGAAATGTAAAAAGTAAAAAATGTCAATTTGGAAGTGTGAGTGTCAAGTTGGAAGTGAGAGTGTCAATTTGGAAGTGAGAGTGTCAAGTTGGAAGTGAGATATGTCAGCTTGGATTGAACTGGGAAATGTCAAGTTGCAACTAAAATATGTCAACTTGGAACTGAAAAATATCAAGATGCCACTAAAATGTCAACTTGGAATGAGAAATTATTACAATGGAACGTCCTTGTCAGTCTTTCAACAAAAAATATGTTATAGACAACACGATTACAATGAATATATATAAAAAAAACACTTGGTTGATTTGTCTAGTATTCTTTTTCTTATCTTTTCTATATCGCGCACTGTATAGTTCATCATATGGTTGACATTTATATATTCTTGCATTACATTCTATTTATGTTACGAGACATTCATTCTATACAAACCTTAATGGCTGACATGCTCAAAAGATTAATTGTCAATCATGGCAACACCATGGTATCGGTCTGTCACTGCATGTGATGAGATCAAAATATGCTGTATATGATTTTGCAACATTAATTACATTGGGTCTATTTCTTTTGCAGTTAGTATCGTTTTCCGTTTTATATTTGGTTGTTCAAATTTGATGGTTATGTCCGTTTTTTGTTTTATTAGCCAGACAGTCTCCGACTCCATCAGTGATTACAGAGAACACATTGTTGTAAAGATGGGTAAATCACTCAAACGATATAATTTCACTGAATATTTCTTACACAATACATGATCTATAAAACACATCCATTTGGGCATGTACTGAAAAGTGCTTATATGTATAACTTCAACATGTGCGCACTTATAACATTCTATTACATTTTGCTGATAAATAATACAAATAATTTGAACTCTTTCTCTGAAAAAGTACGAATACTATAACTCTCAAGTACAAAATTCATATAATTACCAACACATTCCCTAATCAGACTACGTACACACAATGACAAGTTTCCATAATCTGTATTAATAAAATATATAAGAAGAGCACATTTAACATATTGGTATGTAACCTGTTTTGGATATAATGTGGTAAAATGAATAAGTTCACATATAGATACCCATTTCTAATAAAATTTGCTGAAAACAATATGTTACGAAGTCTGGCTAAAAATATATAAATACAGAAAGTTTATGAATTCTTAGTGAATCTGAATATTTTAAAAGAGTGTTGATAACATACATAAAAAAGTAATATGAACAAAATCAAAATATTGTTCAACCTTACATTTTAATGTTTGCATGTAATATATACTTGTAATTGATTCAATGTCAATAATTATATTTCCATTAAAATGCTAGTATTGTAAGTACTCAGCCGTTCTACGATGTTAAAAGAGATCGTACATTGACCTTTAATTGTCAACATCTTCGTCCTTTGCTCTGAACGGTCAGTTATCTCATTGGCAATCATACCACATCTCCTTATCTTAATATTATCAAGGTTAAACAATAAATTGTCAAAACCAGCCAAGTCAGTATAAGAAAAAGGGTTTGATATTGAAGGTCTTTCTGTTATACAACGTGAACACTTTTCTCTAGTCATTTTCGTTTAATTATTTGCCATGTTATATAAAACATTCAACACAAAATGTTCTATAAACATCTATAATTATACTGTTAAGTATGTTTATTCGGTCAAAGAATCGGAGACATTTATCATAATAAAGGTTTGTCACACAAAATCTACTTGGATTTAACCCTCACAAGTAGAATGGGTTTTTTTTTCATTAAAAAGTTCTTCTCGAAAGCCAGAAAAATGTGATATTGCTTAGAATTAGAAACCGCTGCTTTGAAAAGAAAACGTAATGATTGGAAATGGCTGTTTACTCAAGTCGTTACTGTACTTTATATGGACCAACAAAAATTAATTGGAATAATACGCCACACGAAATCTGATTTAACTCGGTAATAAGTCAAATCTCGGGTGTTTATAACTCGTAGAGGCCTAGGGATGTGTCATTAGTGATCGTGAATATCATGAAGGTCAAAGCGTCAGAGGCAAAAGTCGCTGTGATCCTCCATATTAGCTTTTGTTGTGGATTGAACCTGTGGTAAATAATAGTAATAGAAAAAAAGAATAGCTAGACATGTCTGGACACCGAGCAACAATTCTTACCACAAGACTACATAGATATAAGAAGATGTGGTATGAGTGCCAATGAGACAACTCTCCATCCATTTCAAAATTTATAAAAGTAAACCATTATAGGCCAAAGTACGGTCTTCAACATGGAGCCTTAGCTCACACCGAACAGCAAGCTATAAAGGGCCCCAAAAATTACTAGTGTAAAACCATTCAAACGGGAAAACCAACGGTCTAATCTATATAAAAAACGAGAATCGAGAAACACTTATGAACCACATCAACAAACGACATGCATGTATGAACACTCAATGATGGAATGAATATGTTGAACATACGTCGCACTTCGCTTTTGAAGGTCTTGTGACCACTACAGTGACTTTATAATTAAAAGAAAGCGTTCTATTTTTATTCCGTCCAAATAGATATTATCACTTCCGAAGTCTCATTGACGTATATCCCACATTTCCTTTTATTCATATCTAAAAACAAGCTCACAGACATCTATTTTTCTGACTTGATATAACGTCTTTAGCAAATGCCTTTCAATATATAGTATTAACAATTTTCAAATCATGTTATATTACTCATCAGCGAATTTCTTTCATACGTCAGCGAAAAGAAATGAACAGTCACTCACAGAACCATGATTACAGTGACATAGTATTGGACTACTTACAAAATATATCTTTTTAATCAAAAGAACGTACCGATCATAATTATTTTTTGATTCAGAACAACATATGCTAACACAATCTTACACCACAAAAGGACACTTCCGGTTATCAAACTTCCAATCCAGTTGAAATAACAGTTTACAAGTCTTAATTACTCACTCACATGGTATATGAAAAAATATGAATAATGTGAAAACTTATTGTCATACTCACGAAAAATGTTCAAGAATAAAACCCAATGGCTACTTAATTAATTAGTAAAAAAAATATTAGCCTGTATTAACGTCATTCCTTGATATAGTCAGCTCGAGTGATCTGTCAATGTTACAAACGGTTGAAATCTAAGGAGTTTACTGTCACTTGTACAGAAGACTGACAACTCAGACGGGATCTGTCACTTGTACAGACAACTAAAAACAAGAGTGACCTGTCACTTGTGCGGACAACTTAAAACTAAAGAGTGACCTTTCAGCTGTACAGACGGTAGACACCTAAGGTATTTTATGTCACTTGTACAAAAGGCTGACAACTTAGAAGGGACCTGTCACTTGTACAGACAACTTAAAACGAAATAGTGATCGATCCTTTGTACAGACGGCTGACAACCAAGAAGTGATCTGTCACTTGTACGGATGGCTGACAACTCAAGGATTATCTGTATCTAATTCAGACGGCGGACAACTAAGAAGTGATCTGTCACTTGCACAGACGACTGAGAAATAAGAAGTCATCTGTCACTTGTACAGACGGCTGAGTAATAAGAAGTCATCTGTCACTTGAACAGACGGCTGAGTAATAAGAAGTCATCTGTTACTTGTACAGACAAATTCAAAATAAATTGTAATCCATCGCTGCAATTAAAGGAGTGGTTTGTCACTCATATATGCGGCTGGCAACTTAGAAGTTATACCAGTATATCAAC